TATCTCCTGTTAGAGTAATATGTTGTCTCCTTGTCATATTCTCAAATACAAAACCACTTGTTTACTTAAATAATGATGCTCTGCCATTTTGTTAAAAAAGAATACGCTGGAAATACAAGCGTTGTCATCTTGATAAAAGTGTCAAAGTTACATGACGCATAATTCAAAGTCCATTTGTCGTATTTGTGTATGAAAAGTTATATTTATGATTAAATGATAAATATTTTAAGTTATAACGTCGTGTTTTTTATGCTAATGATTTGTTGTGTTATTTGTATGAATGATGAATTAATTAATCATTTATTTTTTAATGAAGCACATGGAATAAATAATCATATATATATAACGGCCAAAAAAGCTGGTTTTTCGTTGATTTCAAAAATAAATTCATTCTCACTAGAACCCTGTGTGTTTGTTTATATGCAAAAAAAGTTAAGTATATAAATATCGAACATAAAATCAAAATCAATTAGCCTAAATTAAAAGTGCGCTTCACTGAACATGCAAACTTTCCTAACTGTCAGTAATTGACACAATTTTATTAGATTCAAATAATAAATATTTTTGGTGCTGTTTTTCATTTTAAAGGTGTTGAAAATTAAACCTATTGAAACAAAAAGGATTATTATAATAAAGATCGGTGTAAACGATTACAACTCTTTTTTTTCTCTCCGTCTGGAGATGATAAAGATCGATATTTGTACTTTCTTTACTGTAGCCAATATGGCGGTCTATCTAGATAAAAATAAACAAACAAACACAATAGCTGTTTCTTGGTTATAATCCTTGCTTAAAGACATAAAATAACATGCATATGACTTTCATATAATTTTGAAAAGTGCCATACTGCTAGCCACTTCCAATCAGAAATTGTATAACTTGTATCTTATTCTTAATTATTTAACTGTTTATGCATGAACAGTTTGAACCATTTTGGCATTTAACAGGCCATTTTTGTTGTTATTCAAACTGTCAAACCGTTACCGTTTACGCCTAATTTTTAAATGTCATTTACATGTATGAAAATTGTATCTGCAGCCCCTTTGCTTGTTTGAATTGATTTTAACTGTTAAAATCAGAAAACATCTTTCAGTTCTTTAAAAATCATTTGAAATACAATGAAGGTCTAGAGAGACCAGAAATTAGAAGTAGGAGTAATTAGATATGCACCAGTTACAATTAAAGATAGTGGATTGAATAGCCAATTTCCATTGAGGGAAAAATTAAATGGGATTATGTGTATTCACTTCTTTCTTGAAAAATAAAATCTTGGAAATATGTTTTAAAAAAAAGAAAGTTATCTATAATAACAGGTAAAGTGAGCTGATTCTTAGTCACTTTGCTACATTCTGCTCCCAACAACTTCTAACTGGGCATTGTCTGTGTACAAAAATTCAGTTCATGGTTTGACATCAACCATCAAAAATATCCCAATGTCTAATTGACAAGTCTAATTAGTTAGATTATATAAGTGGTAGATACCGTAGTTAGACAATTTTCCCCCATACCAGTTCCTTCCCTGATGTTACCTTCCTGGCTGTTCTACACCCCAACCCCATATTTTGGGGGAGAACTGTCTGCATAAGTGCAATTTTTGAGGATTGTTCCCCTCTATTATTATTATTAATTCAAAGATTAATATTGATACTATAAACTGTTTAAAGGGACTCCACTGAGGTCTGAAAGCCTAAAAACAAAACATTTGAATTTCTTACAAAAATGAGCTGGGGCACTTAAAACAGAAATATATGCAAAGATAGATCAGAAAAATGCTTTGAAATAAATTGAAAATCGTATTTTTATGCTTTTCTTAGCCTGATTTAAACGCTTTTCATTTTGGGTCATTTTTTAGCTCGACTATTCGATAAGAATAAGTAGAGCTATTGCAGTCACCCGAGCGTCGGCGTAACCACTTATGTTAAAGTTTTTGTAATAGTTCAAATATTTTCAAAGTCCATAGACATATGGCTTTGAAACTTTGCACACTTGTTCACCATCATGACCCCAACCTGTAGACAGGAGGTGGTAACTCTATCAAGCATTTTGACAGAATTATGCCCCTTTTTCGACTTAGAATTTACGTTAAAGTTTTTGTAATAGTTCAAATATTTTCAAAGCCCATTGACATATGGCTTTGAAACTTTGCACACTTGTTCACCATCATGACCCCAACCTGTAGACAGGAGGAGGTAACTCTATCAAGCATTTTGTCAGAATTATGCCCCTTTTTCGACTTAGAATTTACGTTAAACTTTTTGTAATAGTTCAAATATTTTCAAAGTCCATTGACATATGGCTTTGAAACTTTGCACACTTGTTCAACATCATGACCCCAACCTGTAAACAGGAGGAGGTAACTCTATCAAGCATTTTGACAGAATTATGCCCCTTTTTCGACTTAGAATTTACGTTAAACTTTTTTGTAATAGTTCAAATAATTTCAAAGTCCATTGACATATGGCTTTTGAAACTTTGCACACTTGTTCAACATCATGACCCAAACCTGTAAACAGGAGGAGGTAACTCTATCAAGCATTTTGACAGAATTATGCCCCTTTTTGGACTTAGAATTTACGTTAAAGTTTTTGTAATAGTTCAAATATTTTCAAAGTCCATTGACATATGGCTTTGAAACTTTGCACACTTGTTCACCATCATGACCCCAACCTGTAAACAGGAGGAGGTAACTGTATCAAGCATTTTTTTTACTATCAAGCACTAAGAATAGTCGAGCGTTGCTGTCCTACCGACAGCTCTTGTTTACAATTTGAATAATTATTCTGGAAAAACGAATATAATTTATATATTGCACAAAGATTAGTGGTCTAAACCTACATCAAATGGTATGTTTATCTGGGAAAAAAATGTTCAGTCCCATCATGTCAAAAAAACTCAGTGGAGTCCCTTTAAAAAATGGGTCATTCTAAACATTCTGATTTAAATGTATAATTTATAAAAAAAATGTGGTGAATTCAGCGGAGAACTAGCTTCCATGATAAGCAGATGTTATTTAGGTTATTTACTTCACATCTAATATTGTATGGCATGCAAATATTCATTATTATATGAATCCGTATATTTTTTACAGACTTTCTAAGTTTTTATAACTGTACAGGTGTATCTAAAATTGAATCTGAATTCAATTTGTACCTTGTAAAGTTGTATTGATCAAGTTAATATATAAAAACAAGTATTGAGTACATTGTGTATTGTTTTCGTTTTAGGCTGAATATACAATATGTAAAGATAAGGCTAGCTATAGCTTTGCTCAACTCTTAAACAGGACATTGGTATGGTCAGGGACATCTTCTCTGTTATAACAGAATGGGCAGTTATATCCTCATGGTAATTGTGACGGCTGACCAAGAAGCAGCAATTGAAGATCTGTTTCAAATCAAAGGATGGACATACGATAAAACTGGTAAGTGTGGTAACCTATGGAAGGAGTAATGATAGAAACATTGGCATTCAGTTTTTATCATCTGTTCCATCACAATTAACAAATAGGCCGATTTCGTATTTCTGCACCGATTCCGGTAGATTCTGGTAATTCGGCCAATGCCTGTAAGTCGAGTAACCGGATAATTATCATAAAATATAATTAAAAAATTGAAAGTAAGATTTAGGATAAGTATTCATCAAAAATGTTAGACTTTGTTTTATTCCAGATTGAATTATGTTTCAGTAGTAAACTTGAAAAGATATTGCTCAGTTTTGAATACCATGCTTTAAATTTGTCTTTGCTTGTTTTGTAGGAGTAGTTCCATTGCCAAGGGAACAAACTCTGTTAGGTCTAAATCACAACAAACTTGCTGACTGCTCACCAGGTGATATCCAACAAACTTTCCATCCATCTTATCATCAAAGTGTATCACAGATTTCTAACTCGCTGCTAACAGTAGATACTGCATCAGCAAAAGAGATACATGAAAAAAGTTTGACTGCTGAATCGCAGTGCCAAAGCATTATGGTAAAAAGTACAAGTGATTCAAATCTAGAGAATTCACAGGTTTGTCAAAACAGAATTCAGCGGCTCCCTACATGTAATTCAGTTAATCTTAACTACTCAGATATATCAAGAGAAGCAAGTAAACAGTTTGAAGTTAACAGAGTTGATCCAACTACACAAGCAACTGTAAAGAAACAAGATTTGCATCAACCTGTGAATTGTACGTCTCATTTTACATCTCAAACAGCAAAATCTAGTGCAGATTTGTATAAAGACAGCTTAACAGTATTAGCGGATCAAAGAAATGAGGCTATTGGTGCAGCTGTTTCAGGTAAACATAACATGGAGATAATTATGTGTAATGTCAACATTGAAGATAAGTTCCAAGAATTCAACATGGTTAAAAATGGAGCTCATGTTGAGACTGCAAAAGAATCTGTGAACGATGATTCAAAATCCTTTCTTGCTCAGAAAGAAAGGATTGATTTGAATAATGGTACCAACGTTTCAAAGATGTCCAACCCTAGTTTAGAGGATAGGTGTATTGTAAATGCTTGTTTTGATAACAAATTACTGAATGACTTTGATATGATTTGTAAAATCTTAAAGAATGCCATGCAAATAGAGTTTGACAAGAAACTAATTCTGCCGAAATTGGAAGAAATTCTAACTTCTGGAAGATATTTGTGGAATAAATCTTCTGAAATGGGAAGAGTTGGTCAAGGAAAAAGAGAATTGAATAAAGATTGCTTTCTGAATGAAAAAGATAAAAGTTATGGAGTCCGAGAAGAAAAGGAAGTCATTAATGATTTAGATAAACAGAAAGAAATTGAAGACAATGATACTGATTTAATTGAAGATAAAAGCCCAACTACACCAATGACTTTCAATACTCAAGAAATTGAGGCAGACAGTGATTTTATAGGTAATTCTGGAACCATAGTTAAAGATGCAAGAAAATACAAAAATGTGAAAATAAAGTCAGGTCAAAGTGAATCTTATAGTAAAAGTACGAAATGGATAAAATGTGAGATTTTGAATTGTTCTGGTGATATTGACAAAGCATTTGAAGAGAATGCAAATGATATTAATCATCTTGATGGTGTTAGTTCTTTAACAAGTAAATCAAAGGAAAGCGGGAAGTGGAAATGTAATAGTAACAAACAAAGTATTGTCTTCTAATGAATTCGAGAAAGTAAATGATAAAAGTGAAAAGGAATCAGCTGTAAAGTTTAGGTGGACGGTGAACCGGAATATGAGGATGCATAGATTCCATAGGAAATGTGTAACACAGCCGCGTGATTTAGATTCGGACAATTACAGTGAGATCGAGCAAGGTTATTTCTGTCGGGATTGTCTGTTTATTTTTAGAAGAAAAAATAAATATTTACTTCATAAGAGATTAAAAGGCGGGCATTGCTTGCGAGACTGTATCTATTGTGATGCTGATGAGCAGAAGGAAGTTTATTCGTGCACCAAATGCCCGAAGTGCTTTCAGACCAAAGAAATGCTCGAACGGCACAATGAGAAGCATAAGCATCTGTTTGGTTGTGACTTTTGTATATCAGAATTTTATACAGTCAATGATTTGAAAATACACGTACAAACCGTGCATGCAGAAACAGCACTGCCGACATATTTATGTGATTTATGCGGGTCAAAGTTCAAGGAACGGAAAGTGCTGAATGCCCATCGAAGGTTTGTCCACTCAAACCATAGGCCAGAGGCTTGCACTTCCTGTGATAAACGCTTTAAGACTAAAAGTCAACTGAAAAATCATCTTGTTACACACAAACAGGCATCGGAACTCAATCTGTCATGTGAAATTTGCGGGAAAATGTTTTTGCGTGTCGCAACTCTAAAGGATCATGTTCGGAGACATAAAAAAGAATTTACTTGTTTTTGTACCATTTGTAATAAAGGTTTTTATAGAAAGTACAGCCTTGCTGAACATATGAGAGTTCACACTGGTGATAAACCTTTTGACTGTAAGTTTTGTGGATTTAAATGTGCACTAAGTTGTAATCTAGTCAAACATATGAAAGTTCATTTTTGAATAATTTGTGTGATATTTGTTTAAACTGTCAGATTTAAAAAAATGTATGGCATTTATTTTAAACTTACTTTGTATAGACAATAGTCCATAATATTCTAATGACATCTAAGTCATTGTATAAACAACTAACACAAAGTGTGTCTTGACTGTTTAATTCACTAATTCCAAGTGCGCTGGAGCTATAAGTACATAATTCTACATCTCCTTTGTTTTGAAATTAAAAATATTTAATTATTATGTATGCTTAAAATTTTCTTAACTTATAAAGTTAGATAAATCATAACAATAAAATGAAATTATTAAGAAGACAGAGTCATTATAATTATGAAGATGTTAACAAGTATAATGGTCTACATTTTTATAATGAAATCAAATACATATTATATAAACATTCTCAAAGTAGAATATCGGTCAAGTTTAGTTTATACTGTCCGAATGCTTTTCGTTTTTCCGAACTCTCACACATTTTCTGATAAATAATTGCTTTATCTCATAATCAGTTTACACTTGCCTCATGGGGTTGCTGAGGTATTTTCCCTTTTGCTGGGCACTGTCTTTCATTATGTTCATAACCACATTTGTCACATTTTTTACCACTGACTGCCAACTTCTTGGGTTTTCCCTTTCTAGACTGCTTCTGTCTACTTTTATCAACTTCTGCGCGTGTGGCTGGTGCACGCTGTCTGTACTCACGTCTGTTTGTTACAGCATGTACGTCATCGCGGCTCATTTCCTTCATTTGCTCCCTGGAGAATTCATAATTTTGACAGATTTGAATAGCTTTTTCTTCTAAGGATAAGTCCTTTCTTTGATTTATTAATTTCTCTCTAATTTTGTTCAAATTTGTCCCAAATACAATCCTGTCACGTAACATTTCATCTAAATTTGAAAAATCGCAATCTTTAGCTTTAAGTCTCAATCTTGTAACAAATGAGTCTATTGATTCGTCTTGTTGGATTTCGTTGAAGAACTGGTATCTGGAAAAAATTGGGTTAAAGTTGGCCAGATGTTAGAATGTATTTTGTTTTTTTGCTTTTTTCCTTTTATGTTATTCAAAAATGACATTGTCAGGGCCCTTAAATCACCAACCCCAAAATAGGAGGTATGACTTTTTCCCTTTTGGGTTTGTTGCTAGAGGCCCCTAAAAAACAAATTTTTTATGTCGTACAAATTTTTTAAATCCCTTGGGTAAGTTGGTGTCGTCCATCTATAGATGGTTGGAAAATTTTCCTTTCCAGGGTTTTTTTTTTTCTATTAATTTAATAATCCTTTAATTTTAAATTACCCATAAAAATATTAAACCGTTTTAAACCCAAATATAAATTAAACTTGTATTTTTTTATGCCCATTATTTTGGGAAAACCATGTAATTTTTGGGTTTATTTTGTATAAACAGTAGCCAAAATTTTTAATAATCTAAGCCCATTGTATAAAAAACAAAAAGTGGTTCTTGGCTGTTTAATTCACTAATTCCAAGTGCGCTGGAGCTGCATACATTTAGGCGGGAATACATGTTACAGAGAATCATGGAAAGTATAGACTTCCTATAGTGATAACTTAAATGAACTATAAGTTCATAATTCTACATTTATAGTTCAATTGGTAAATATCTAGTTACAAAGATTCATTGCATTTTAAATGATTTTTTGTGTGTTATGAGGTTAAAGCTAACTTTTTAACATTGAATTTTTTGTGGTTAAAATGAATCCACCTACGATTTGTGAAATAAACACATTGAGCTAAGTAAAATTCTGTTCAGAATTGAAAATTGATTTCAACTAAAATCATATAATTTTAAATTCAGATCAGTTGTTTTGTATTTCACCATCTGTTACTATTTTCTAAATCACTTAATGACTCAAAAGTTAAAGTTGATTATATTGATATAATAATAATTTAGTATAATTATCTTAAAACTTTCTTGCCCCATTATCGCTGTGGGTTCGAATCCCGACAGGGTCTTTAAATTCTTTCTTGCGAGGAAGCTATCCAGCTAGCTAACTTAATGTCGGTGGTTTAACTCAGGTTCCCGTTTGTGCCTGAAATAATGCACAAAATGTCACCTAAGGTTTTTCTTCCTCCACAAGTATGGCTGGAAAGTCGCCATGACCAGTCACCTATACTGTGTTGGTGTGACATAAACCCAACAAAAAAAAATCTTGAAATTCTTGGGTTTACTATGTATATGTAAGTAATAGCTAGGTGTGCCATTTTGTACATAGAGATTGGAAGATAGCTTTTGTCAATAATTCCTTATCAAGACAGCTTAGCCAAAATCACTAAATTGGTATTTTTGTATTCTTTACTTTCACTATACATGTACAACAGGTCATTTGGTCTTACTATAAAGGAACATTATACCTCAGAAAAGATTAAATTTTACATTTTTAGAAAGGGTAATTTTGAATTAACATCATTTATATAATGATTTTAGAGCATGTTAGATGCTTGTTACCTGAAGTAAATAGCGCTAAATGTGAAGTTATTTGTCAAAAAACTAAGTCAAAGTTGTTTTTGACTTCTATACAAAATACTTAATCACTATAGTTACTACCAAAAATCATCAGAAGTAAAAGATGTATGATTGTGTAGGAATATAGTAAATTATTAGCTTTAGAAGCACTCTCAGATCAGTTTCTTGAACCAACCAGCACTGAGCAATGAGTGTCAAAGTTTTAGCTCAATGAAACTATGGCTTGTCCCTGACAGGATTTGAACCCATGCAGCTAGTGGTCCTTAGATTACTAAGCTTGATTACCTATTTAATGCTGTGGACACATTTTTTGCTCGACCATTGCCACCACAATTTTATTTAAAGATTAAGATTAGGTGTTAATATATATATATTATGAAGTCTTTAAAAGAAAGTGAAATTAACAAGTACATAGCAGGAGTATTTAATACTTCTCATCCAAAAGAACTAGTCCATGATGTTCGTAAATACATGTACCTGTATGTATGAGTACAATTTGTACAATAAGACATGTATTTTATCATTGGGCATTACTTCTTAACATTAAGATTTGGTCAGTCATGGAGTCAATAATGCATAAAGAAATTACTGTGTAAATTATGAACAGCCACAATCAAACTGAGCCTGCAATATTTTCAATTACATGTATGTCGGTTTGGGTTTTCTTTAGGGATTTCATTTTTAGCTCGACTTTTCTATGAAAAGGGGAGCTATCCTACTCGCCCCGGCGTCGGCGTCGGCGTTGGCGTTGGCGTCACACCTTGGTTAAGTTTTTCGTACCACCCCACTTTATTTCAGAAGTATTACAAGTATGGCTTTGAAACTTACCATACTTGTTCACCATCATAACCTCCATCTACAGACAAGAGTACATAACTCTGTCAAGGTTTTTGACAGAATTATGGCCCTTTTTTGACTTAGAAAGTGTATTGAGCTTGGTTAAGTTTTTTGTACCACCTCACTTTATTTCAAAACCATTGGAGGTATTGCTTTGAAACTGACCATACTTGTTTACCATCACGACCTTCATCAACAGACAAGAGGACATAACTCTGTCAAGGTTTTTGACAGAATTATGCCCCTTTTTGACTTAGAAAATACATTGAATATGGGTAAAATCCACTTATTGCCTTAACCCTTTGAGATATTGCTTTGAAACTTTTAATGCTATTTCACATCATTACCCCCATCTGTACGCAAGAGAAGGTAACTCTGTCAAGGATTTGTTTTAAAAATTAAGGCCTTTTATCGACTTAGAATCTTGGTTAAGTTTTTAGTACCAGTCCACTTTTTGACTGAACTGTTTGAGATATTAATTTGAAAGTTGGAATACTTGTTTACAATCATGATTCCCAAACATGTCCAGGAGAAGGTAATTCTGTCAAAGATTTTATTTGAATTATGGCCCTTAACTGTCAATGTTTTGTATTATAGGCAAGCACTAAAAAACTTAAAAAATCTAAAAAAATTCATTCCTATCCACTTGTTCACTTTACCATAAATTATGTCATATAAACATTGCTGTAATATTCAAGGGTATCAAACAACTAGTTCACTTTAAAAATACAGAGATTCTTGTATTGCCTTTTACTGCAAAAACTTTTTTTATTGGCAAGCAATAAAAAAGTCGAGCGCGCTGTCTTACGGACAGCTCTTGTTGGCCGGGTTGCACTGGTGCAAATCCGGGTTATAGTATGGTGAATGTTGGGCGGGCGTCAGGGCGGCGGGCGGGCGGGGAAAAAAACTTTCGTAACAGTTTTTTCAGCAACTACTTATCACAGCCTCTTGATATTTGGCATACAGCATTGACACATGGTCCCATACTGTGGGATTTGATTTCAGGTCTCTCGCTCATCCACTTCCTGTTTATCCACTTAGTTAAATTAGTTAGATTTTTCGACATTAATGGTCAATGCTAGGAAATTTTCGTAACAGTTTTCTCAGCAACTACTTATCACAGCCTCTTGATATTTGGCATACAGCATTGACACATGGTCCCATACTGTGGGATTTGATTTCAGGTCTGTCGCTCATCCACTTCCTGTTTATCCCACTTAGTTAAATGAGTTAGATTTTTCGACAATAATGGTCAATGGTAGGAAATTTTCGTAACAGTTTTCTCAGCAACTACTTATCACAGCCTCTTGATATTTGGCATACAGCATTGACACATTGTCCCATACCGTGGGATTTGATTTCAGGTCTGTCGCTCATCCACTTCCTGTTTATTCCACTTAGTTAAATTAGTTAGATTTTTGACATTAATGGTCAATGGTAGGAAATTTTCGTAACAGTTTTCTCAGCAACTACTTATCACAGTCTCCTGATATTTGGCATACAGCATTGACACATGGTCCCATACTGTGGGATTTGAATTCAGGTCTCTCGCTCATCCACTTCCTGTTTATCCACTTAGTTAAATTAGTTAGATTTTTCGACATTAATGGTCAATGCTAGGAAATTTTCGTAACAGTTTTTCTCAGCAACTACTTATCACAGCCTCTTGATATTTGGCATACAGCATTGACACATGGTCCCATACTGTGGGATTTGATTTCAGGTCTGTCGCTCATCCACTTCCTGTTTATCCACTTAGTTAAATTAGTTAGATTTTTTCGACATTAATGGTCAATGGTAGGAAATTTTCGTAACAGTTTTCTCAGCAACTACTTATCACAGCCTCTTGATATTTGGCAAACAGCATTGACACATGGTTCCATACTGTGGGATTTGATTTCAGGTCTGTCGCTCATCCACTTCCTGTTTATCCACTTAGTTAAATTAGTTAGATTTTTTTTACATTAATGGTCAATGGTAGGAAATTTTCGTAACAGTTTTTCAGAAACTACTTATCACAGCCTCTTGATATTTGGCATTCAGCATTGACACATGGTCCCATACTGTGGGATTTGATTTCAGGTCTCTCGCTCATCCACTTCCTGTTTATCCACTTAGTTAAATTAGTTAGATTTTTTGACATTAATAGTCAATGGTAGGAAATTTTCGTAACAGTTTTCTCAGCAACTACTTATCACAGCCTCTTGATATTTGGCATACAGCATTGACACATGGTCCCATACTGTGGAATTTGATTTCAGGTCTGTCGCTCATCCACTTCCTGTTTATCCACTTAGTTAAATTAGTTAGATTTTTTGACATTAATGGTCAATGGTAGGAAATTTTCGTAACAGTTTTCTCAGCAACTACTTATCACAGTCTCTTGATATTTGGCATACAGCATTGACACATTGTCCAATACTGTGGGATTTGATTTCAGGTCTGTCACTCATCCACTTCCTGTTTATCCACTTAGTTAAATTAGTTAGATTTTTTGACATTAATGGTCAATGGTAGGAAATTTTCGTAACAGTTTTCTCAGCAACTACCTATCACAGCCTCTTGATATTTGGCAAACAGCATTGACACATGGTCCCATACTGTGGGATTCGGTTTTAGGTGTGTAGCTAATCCACTTCCTGTTTACCTACTGAATTAAATTTTCGACATTAATGGGTCAATTGAAAAATTTTTCCGTAACATCACAGCCACATGATATTTTGTATACATATGCAACCCGGCCTTTTCTGTCTTTGACCCAATTTTCTCTATTTTATGTTCTCAGGTGTTACTTATATCATCTAAAATATAAATTTTATGGTAGGTTAATAATGTATATATATAATGTACATGTATATCTTTGTTTATTTAATATGATTATGAGAAATATTCATGATTTATTAGTTTTTAAACCTGAATATTTAATAATTCAGTTCTATTTTTAACTTTGAGAAGCTCATACATGAAATTTGTCTTTGACTTTGTTATATAACACATTGATAACTGTATGTAGTTGCAGTTATACTTTTTGTAAGCATTTGTTTTGTAATTTTCTAAATGAAACACGTCCATTTGGCACTTATTTTATTATTATGCTTTTTTGACAATGTGCTTTTACAAGAAATTAGTCATAAAGCAGGCTTTTTATGATAACCTGACTATAAGTTTATAAGTTAGATGTGTTAATGTTATAAAAATGTTACTACAAAATAAAGTTGAATATAGTTTATGTATTTCTTAGTATCTCATGCCTTTTAAAGTGTTTCTTACACAGCTTAAATAAACTAAAAGAGTAAATAAAGTAAGCACTGACTGTTAAGAAATACAATTCAATTCTGTTGTTTTTTTGGGGTTTTTTTTGCAGTATTTTGCCTTATTTGAACATACAGGCACACAATGTCCACAGCAAAATATACAGTAATTGGCTCAAAGAAAAAAAATTTGCCAGTACTAGTCCTTAGTTGCGCATGAACTTTAAAGGTATATTTTGTAAGGTAAGTCATTGTAACTATAAAGTGATTGAAATAAATAAAAGATAATATTACCGCAGGCTACCTTTGTGTTTTTAGTTGAATAATATTTAATTGCAATTTTGTACCGGGTAAGCAATGTAAAATATGAACAACATAAAATAAATGATTTATATTTAAAGTGCAAATGGAATTTTGTTACAACATTATCAACAGCCCTTACATAAAGTCTTAATTTCATAAAGGCATGTTCAGGATACTTTCGTTAGTATGATTACAGTTAACTGACTTAAGAAATGGAAGTGACAATGCAAAACAAACAAAAGAAACATAAATTTTGGGGAAAAAAATATATTTTGATGCTTAATAGATTAAAGAATTAATAGCAAGACAAAGAAAAATGAAAACAATCCTGGAAAATAAAGCAACAACAAAATGTTTCCTCTAAGCTGCCAAAACCCTTAATATGCCTGACAAAGAGATAAAAAATACCAGGAGATAATTTGAAATTGAATGTGTACTTTTTATTACCACAGAGAACCACTTTAGCGAAACATGATAGCATTGTTTTAAAGGGACTCCACTGAATTTTTTTGACAAGAAAAATGTTTTGATATTGAATGTGTTCTTTTTTTTATGACAGAGGATTGCAGTGAGGAAACTTGATAGCATTGTTTCAAAGGGAATCTACTGCGTTTTTTTTTGACAAGAAATATTTTTTTGAGAATTACGGTGACATTTGATGAAGGTCTAGAATTGTAACTAGTGAAGATCATTTGTTCAATCCATTTTTATAAAATATTTTTATTGTGCAAAACAAACTAAAATTTAAAATTGTTTATAAATGCTTTTAACTCACATCAGGCTAAGAATGGCACAAAACATTGATTTTCATTTTAAGTTTGTGTTGTCTTTTGAAAGTTTCAAGAGCATAAGGGAAGAATTTCCAAATTATTTTTTTTTTTACACATTAAACCTCAGTTGAGCCCCTTTAATTCTACAAAGTGAAATAAATCCTTTAAAAAAAGGAAAATATATACATTGTATATATTAAGAAATGTTAAGACATTCACAATTCACAATCCATGGTGAAATTTTGAATGTAATCTGTAAATAAAATGTATTGGTCCTATTGAAAATATTTTACAGGTGTTGTTCCTTACCATCACCTACATCACATATGACAAGGGTCATAACTCTGGCATAAATTTTCAAAAAATGTAATCAGTTTGAAACTTAAATGTACTTCGATAAAGATTTTCACAATATATTTTTATTATCAAGTTTAATGAAAGCATTTTCACTTTTATAAAATTAATAATCATATAATATGATAATCAGTTTTGGAGAGAAAAAAAAAATCGTCCACAAATATAAATTAATTTCTAGTCAATGGCTTTCTTTCATAATTATGCAGTATTTTTCCATTTTACTCTTTTTTTTAACTTTCCCGTTTATATTTTATAAAAATTTTTTTTTATTTTTTAACTTTCTCCTTTATATTTTATAAGAAAATCATTGTATTATTTCATAAGGTGATATTTTGAAAATGTTTTATGAGCAGGGCGTTAGATCATGCATTGCCAATAACAGATTAAATTTCCTCATTTACATTGCACGAGCCTTCTTTGTCAATAATTTTATTTTTATTTTATGACATTGTTTGTACCATACAAACAAAGCAGGACCTGTTTGAATCAAATGTACTGGAAGACTAAGCAATCAACATTTAATTCAATTAAAAAGTGACAACATTTTGATACGGGGTTACCATTGTTTATTTTTTTTGTTACAGAAACAATGTCTGGCTATTTTGTCGCAGTTTTTTATTTTCGAAAGCGAAAGATTAAACTGTTTAAAATCTTACATGGTATTTAAAGTCTCCTATTTATCTTAAGATTAAATTTCTGATTTGCAATTAGTGAAATAATGGAGCGTATTGGAAATCATGAAGCGTTAATTGTTTATTGTTTTAATTGGCAATTTTTACGTAGCATAATGTCCCAAGGCAAGCTCAGCATTGTACCGCCAAACTAGCTTCATTAAAGACTTGACTAACTTGGATTTCAATATGAAGTTTTTATTTTGTCTTATTTTAATTGTAAAAGGTAAGTAATTATATTTTTACCTTTTTTTTAAGCACTGATTATAATGTGAAATATTTTTATTACGAGATTTTGGAAGAGATTTTCTGTTATTACATTTAGGTTGACATCAAGGGTAACAGATTTATTATTAAATATTAGCTTATTTCTGGTAGCGCCAGATGAATTAGAATTTTTTTTTAATTCCTATTATAAGATTAAATTATTTTTTTTTAATTTTTGTGTGTCTGTTTTGATAGGTAGAATTGCTTTTCTATTCCAATTTTTGGGGTTGACATTAACTGATACAGGGTCATCCTTAAATTCTAGCTCAAAATGAAAACAATGTTGTGGCACAAAAATAATTTTCTTTGTCAATTTTGAAAGACAAATTGCTTTTATAATAAGTAAAAATTATTATTTTCCATATAATGCAATATTTTATTCAGTTATATTGTTGCATTTTTTTACTTGGTAAGACTGCTAAATGGTATGAAGCTATTTTGAGCTGTCTTTAAGTAAAGTAAAAAATCCAACATTGAAAGAATAATTTTTAGACCATTTCTGATAAACCAGATGGTGCATCTTCAAAATTGTCATAAAAAAGTTACTAACAAAACATAGCAGTTTAATATTAAGTGAGGGAAAATTCTATTTTGTTTTTGTTATGTAAACTGCTTCAGTCTGATACTATAACTAGCTCCTAAGTAATGCGTTACACATAAAATCATAAAAATGAAAATGCTTGAACTGAAAATTATCTGCCTTTGCCATCAGTGTAAAGCCTGCGGTTAGCTTGCACTTTTATGTATCTGACCAGGCTTTATAATGTTGGACCCAAATGTTTCTTCTTACACTACTTGCATATCTGATTTAGAGAGTCAATGTACTACCTAAATAGTATTTTCTGAAAACACATGACTAATACTTAGAGTATTGAAATATGCTTTTGAACACTGGACTGACTCTATACTCTTGACAATTTTTTTTAGATTCTTCCAATGGATAATTTTTTTATGAAATACTTATAAATGAAATATTCAGAAATATAATGAATGAAATAAATTGCATATTTTCAATTTCCATATTTTCACTGTAAAAAATAATTTTTCACTGCAATGAAAAATATTTCTAGTATTTTCACTGGTGTCTTGCTGGACTACTTTCTTGTAAATTTAGCCATTATACAAAATTAAAGGGATGTCTTTCAAATTGTAATGTCAGAATGAGAAAAATATATAAATAAATAACATAATAAACAGAAAATTCAATATTTCTCTAAAAGTTCAGGATTTTATCTTGTCAGATATGAAAATTATCATATGAAAATAAATCCTGTATTTATAGAAAAACTTTAATATCCTTTAATTATTATACTTATAAATGATATATTTAGAAATATAATTGACAACATAAAATGCATATTTTTATTTTCTGTATTTTCACTGTAAAAGTTTATTTTTCACTGCAGTGAAAAAATATTTTCTGTATTCACTGATGTCTTGCTGGACAATTTTCTTGTAAATTTAGCCAATACACAAAATAGTTAAAGGGGAAGTCTTTCAAATCATCAGGTGAAAGCAGAGAAAAAGTATCACTATGTAATAAACAGAAATTCATGCTATTTCTATAAACAGTACATGTATTTATTTTCATCTTGTGATATGAAAATTATCTTATTTAATACTGCCAAATGAAAATAAATGCAGTAGTTATAGAAAAAAAACTTGAACATCCTCTATATATTTTGATTTATATCTTCAGTATGAAATATATCATAGTAAGTTTTAAAATTCTGTTATTTATCTTGTTTATTTGTTTTTTGTTTTTTTTTGTGTCATTTTTAGTACAGTGATTTTTCTTTCATGACTATAATTATATAATCTATATATAATATGTTGTTATTTTATGAAATAATTCTTAGTACTGGTTATTTTCAAAAAATTTGTTATTTATTCATCATGTTCAGTTAATTTAAAAAAAAAAACATTTTTATTATTTAATGTTTATTTGTCATATTCACTATTTTATCTTTACAGTTATTGTCATTTAAATATTGAAATATTTCTTTTTAATTTTCAGTAATTTATTGAATGTCATTTTCAGTATTCTATATTTTTGTCATCTTCACTACTTGTTTGGAGAAAAAAAATATTTTGCTTTAATAAGTTATCTTGAATCTGTATTAGAAAGCTTGTACTCAGTATATACGCTAAATTTTCATTTTTATTTAAGCTCGACTATTCGCAGAATAATCAAGCTAATGCAGTCACCCATTTGTCGGCGTCCCTATGGTTAAGTTTTTGCGTGTAAGCTGGTATCTCCATAACTACTGAAGGGAATGGAATGAAACTTCACACACCTGTTCTCTGTGATTATCTAACATGATTGACAAAAGTCCCATAACTCTGATTTGCTTTTTTGCATAATTTTGCCCCTTTTTCGACTTAGAAATTCTTGGTTAAGTTTTTGTGAGTAAGCTGGTATCTCCATAACTACTGAAGGGAATGGATTGAAACGTCACACACTTGTTCTCTGTGATTATCTTACATAATTTGCACAAGTCCCATAACTCTGATTTGTTTGTTTTTTTGCATAATTATGACCCTTTTTAGTCTTAGAAATTCTAGGTAAAGTTTTTGCTTGTAAGCTGGTATCTCCATAACTACTGAAGGGTTTGTGCCTTTTTTGGAACAATTTTATGCATTCATAATAATAAAGCAGTGATTAACTCAATAAAACATCATAATAACAAGCCTTTGTACCTTTTGGACAATTTTATGTATTCATCTATGTAAGCATTATTATACTCATTGAAACACCCATGTGACAACTTTTCGAATAGTCGAGCGTTACTGTCCTCTGACAGTTCTTGTTTCAATATTTAAAAAGGTTAAATTTAAAATTTTAAAAATAAATCATTATGAACCAATCCCTTCACATTATCCCTGAATTACAAAAAGTGACATTTTTCTGAACGCCAATGACATTTTTCTGAACGCCATAGTTCTTAATATTATTTCATATTAGTAATGACCTAGTCTCTGTGACCTATTTAAGTCTCAACAAGTTTTGCATTAAAAAGATATCTTATCGATATATTTTGGGGAGTTTTTAAGCTTTGATTATCAGCATAGCACAAAAAAGTTTATTTTCCAAAAAAACATAATGCTGTTAAGTTTATCTTGAAAAATAAACATTATTGCGACAATTATAATTACTGGCAACCTACTGTTTACAGAATACAGACAAAATGTTTTATGTCACATATTGTGATATTAAAGTCATGACTTAATGTCATGAATTCGGTTAGAGTTTCAGTAATGTATTTAGAAAGTCATTTGTAAAATGAAGTGTGAAGAGAACAAGAGAATGAAATATGACACCGAGAGATTATTTACATATTGCCAATCATTGACACATGCCAAACTTTACTACTCTTTAATTAACCTTATTTTTTTCTACCAATCTACGTTTTCAAAATAAGCTATTAGTACAGGTTGGCCGCACTGGAGTTGTTTGACCATAGTCTGGTATCCAGCGTCAACAGTGGTTTTCTCCCCGCAAAAGATTTGCTTCTAATGCCAACTACAAAATTTTAATGTTTTTGATTTTTATTTTCAAGTTTTTTAGTTTGTTTGGTTTTACGGTGCACCAACACAGTTTAAGTTACATAACACTGAAACCTTGTGTTTCATCACAGCTTTTTCAGAGTAATAACATGAAAATGGACGTAATGTTAAACCATAACGTCACATTCTTTGGTGGCAAAATAAAACATACTGATGTTAATAATGTTTCATATACATTATTGAATTGTTGCTCAGTATCCTTGCATGCATGCCCCAAAGTTTACTCATACGAATTTTTCACGAAAATGGCCACCATAATTCTAACATGCTTCACACTATTCCCCTATTAACCTGCAAGGGAGATGGAGCAAAACAAATTTCATTATTGGGACAATAAAATGCACGATAAAAAAAGGGAAAGCTTACACATCCAAAATGAAAATCGTTTTAAAGGATGTCAATTAAAACCAAAAAACAACCAAATTTCCCTTTTCATTAACAATTTTCTAATTTTTAAAACTCCAAAGGGAAATTAAACATAAATTTTTTTCAAAAAATGATTTGTTTTTTATTTTGAGTAAAGCATGTCCAAATCCCCTAAAGAAAGTTTTTCAAAACAAATTTTGGTTAGACCCAGAATATTTCGATATGTTCAAATTGTAACATGATATTTTGTACAAATTTTATTCTTTTATAAACCTGACAAGGTTGAAAAAAGCATGCAAAAAATCAATGTAACCACAATCTGTCCAGATGACAGGAGGGTTTGTGTAAAATAAATGTTCTGGTGTTATGAAACTTTCATCTGAAATGATAGTTTGAGAAGTAGAGAAATAATACTGCCAAGCCAACTGCTGGATAGGTTGCCCTGCCTTTATTAGGCAACAGGATAATTTTTCATTTTACAGACAAAGCAGGTCTTGGTGTTTAAAGAAATTGCTGGTCAAGACAACAGGATAATTTTTTCATTTGCAGACAATGCAAGTCTTGGTGTTGAATGTCCTATATAAATTGCTGTCCAAGACAACAAGACCAATTATCATTTTGCAGACAATGCAAGACTTGATGTTGAATGTCCTTTGTAAATTGCTGTCCAAGACAACAAGACCATTTATCATTTTGCAGACAATGCAAGACTTGATGTTGAATGTCCTATATAAATTGCTGTCCAAGACAACAAGACCATTTTTCATTTTGCAGACAATGCAAGACTTGATGTTGAATGTCCTTTATAAATTGCTGTCCAAGACAACAAGACCATTTATCATTTTGCAGACAATGCAAGACTTGATGTTGAATGTCCTATAGTAAATTGCTGTCCAAGACAACAAGACCATTAATCATTTTGCAGACAATGCAAGACTTGATGTTGAATGTCCTATAAAATTGCTGTCCAAGACAACAAGACCATTTATCATTTTGCAGACAATGCAAGACTTGATGTTGAATGTCCTTTATAAATTGCTGTCCAAGACAACAAGACCATTTTTCATTTTGCAGACAATGCAAGACTTGATGTTGAATGTCCTATATAAATTGCTGTCCAAGACAACAAGACCATTTAATTTCATTTTGCAGACAATGCAAGACTTGATGTTGAATGTCCTTTTAAATTTTCCCAAGACAACAAGAATTTTTCTTTTTTCAACAATGCAAGCTTATGTTGAATGCCCTTTAATAAATTGCTACCAAAAGACAAAAGCCCATTTAAGGTAAAGTAAAAATAGGTGTTTTTTACAAAAGGGGTAAAAAAGGGTTTTTGGTGTTAATTTCTATCTTGAAACCCATACCAGAATATTTTATTCTCACAACAGAAAAAAACCCTTTTAGTTTTTTTTTTCTTATTTTTATTATTTTTTTTAAAATTTTTTTTTTTGAAATCAAATTTTAATTTTCAAGTTGAAAAAATAAAATTTTAAAGAAAAAAAAATTAATATAACAAAAAGAATACAAGCAGAACAAAGGGATTTTTTTAATGTAAATTTAAAAATTTACATGTAAATTTTTTTTTACACTTATAAGTATACATGGGAAACATGGGAATTTTGAATCAATAATCTTTTTTAGGTAAGTAACCCACTCTTTTAAAGTGATAATAAAACTCCAAGAATTTTTTCTATTACAACTTGGCAGGAAAATTTTTTAGAGATAATATGTTTATTCTTGAATAGATTTGTCAAAATGTAAAAACTATCAAATTATATATGATATAATATAACTTTATCTATTTATTTCAGTGTATTTGTCAAGTTGTCAATATTCTGGTAATGTAGAAAATCTCCGCAATGCTCTTTCTATTCCATCATCGAAATCTAATATACGACCCGAATCAAGTTTGAATGTGAGTGTGGGACTAAATGTTGTTAGCCTTCATCTGGTATGTTAAAAACTTTCAGAATTACTTAGCCATAAGACAGATTGTCTATAAGTCGGGGGTTATGATTTTACAGTAATATAATTGAACCCATATTATAAGTCTGTTTTGTTATCATTTTAAATTTCTCTTGATGTCTTAAAACATGACAAACTAATGATATTTTTGTACAGCATGACTCAAATTACATATTTACTTTCTTGTCATGAAGTTTATATAGGCACATTGCAAGCATCAACAATTCTGACAATTTTTCACAAAATTTTAAGAAAATATATCAGTATAATAGTGACAATTAAGAAAAGTATCCCATTATAGAATTAGAAAAGAATAGTTATTTTTCAGGATTCTCACAAAGAAACTATGGCAGTTACAGGAAAGTTGACTATGGTAAGTTAATTTTATTATATTATTTACAAATTTACAGACATACAAAAATTTATCATACTGCAAATTCATTATTGGTGGGGCACTACTTTTTGTGGTATTTGTGGATAGATCAATCAACAAATTTAAGATCAAAAGAATTTCATTTCGTCTGCTAAAATATTATTTTGCATCACATTATTTACATTTTACCTTTAGGAAAATAGACTGTCCACAAATTTAAGTACCCACGAAAATGTGCTTTGTGACAAAAGCACAAATTTTAATGTTCACGAAATTAAGTGAATTCTTATGATAAGATATAACAATGTTTTTTTAAGAAAACATTATTATGTTAGTTTGCAGTGACTAATTTTGCGTTCAATTTTGTGATCTGTAACAGTATAAAATATTTAAACCATTCAATATTACAATATTTTATCTATCATTATTAGTGATGTTAACCCTTGGTAAGTATATAAAAGACTTGTTTAACAAGGTCATTAGTTAAATTAAGATTGGATTTTATATTTTATATATATATAAGATATAGAGGATATTGAATAAGTGTAAGTTCGATACTGAATTTATTGCACAAGTTGAAAAAAATTATATTATGTGAGCCTCTGGCAAGCCTTATATTATTTTATTCAACAAGTTCAATAAATTCAGTAAAGGATTTACACAAATTTAATATTCTATTTATCACATTCCCAAAATAAAACTGTTTAAAGTGAAAAGAGTCATTATTCATTGATGCGCCTATAGTCTAACGCTAACATTAAGCGCATCTTTACACTATGTTTGTATAACGCTAATGACATCACATCAAAATATATGCACGGCCGTGCAATACCATTTTTACAAAGTCGCAAAAATGGCACGGGTATGTGATAAATATATTTTCTAAGAGTCTCAGGTCAGAGTACATAGACATGCTGAATGGCAGGGCTCTAAAGTGGTGACTAAGGCAAGCCATCACCCAGATTTTCAGAAAACCACACTGATTAGACATTGTCTTGCACACTTTCTGATATTTTTGTTGTATATATATAGATAAAGGCTACCAGCCAAAACATCTGAAGTTAACATTAAATGACTAAAATGTTCATTTCAGTTTGCTTCAATGGTTACTTTGTATACCATATTTATTAAAGAAGACTTCAGTGGGATGCTTTTGTTTTGTAGATCTGGAATGACCCTAGATATGCCTGGAATGCTGGTACTTATAGTAATATCAATACTTTACTTCTACAAGATGGAGACATTTGGAAACCTGAGCTGGTTTTGGAAAATATGTATGTTGTTTTTATTATTTACTTATACATTTACTTTATAACTACATAACATTTGTCCAAGATAATTAATACATGTATTTGAAAAAATAAAAAAAAATATATGTACACTGTGTATCTAAAACAATTTATTTCAAGCTCAACTTTATTTATAAGTTCAAGCTATTGTTGTAAGTCATGATGATGTTAACGTTGACAGATGCCCACAAACAAACTTCTTTTTTTCTATAACTGTGTATAACCCGTTATTTATGACATACATGTACTTTGACATAACCAATGTTTTATTCCAGGATGGATGATATAAAAGTTATATATAATGAGAAGGTATACAGTCGATTATACAGCACATCTCTTGTTGTCTTGGAGGTACCAGTCAATGTTCTTGTCCACTGTCCTCTAGATTTTACCTACTACCCATTTGATAAACAGACATGTAGGATAACACTATCCAGCTGGTCATATGACTACAGTGAAATGTCACTATTCTCTCTTACTGATAAGGTCAACATGGACATGCACCAGTAAGTATCATTTCAATGAATAATCAAAGAACCTGTGAAATATTTTCATCATGATATACTAGTATTGTAGACTTTAGGGTAATTGAGGGTCATATGAGCAGGAATTTTATAATTATAAAAAAACAACATAATATTATATACTCATTTATCAGTCTGATTGCTGATAAAGTACTGTATTAACTCATCTATAAGTCTGATTGCTGATAAAGTACTGTTTTAACTCATCTATAAGTCTGATTGCTGATAAAGTACTGTTTTAACTCATCTATAAGTCTGATTGCTGATAAAGTACTGTTTTAACTCATCTATAAGTCTGATTGCTGATAAAGTACTGTATTAACTCATCTATAAGTCTGATTGCTGATAAAGTACTGTTTTAACTCATCTATAAGTCTGATTGCTGATAAAGTACTGTTTTAACTCATCTATAAGTCTGATTGCTGATAAAGTACTGTTTTAACTCATCTATAAGTCTGATTGCTGATAAAGTACTGTTTTAACTCATCTATAAGTCTGATTGCTGATAAAGTACTGTTTTAACTCATCTATAAGTCTGATTGCTGATAAGTACTGTATTAACTCATCTATAAGTCTGATTGCTGATAAAGTACTGTTTTAACTCATCTATAAGTCTGATTGCTGATAAAGTACTGTTTTAACTCATCTATAAGTCTGATTGCTGATAAAGTTACTGTTTTAACTCATCTATAAGTCTGATTGCTGATAAAGTACTGTTTTAACTCATCTATAAGTCTGATTGCTGATAAGGTACAGTATTAACTCATCTATTATAAGGTCTGATTGCTGATAAATAACAATATTTACTCATCTATAAGACTGATTGCTGATAAGTTACCATATTTACCCATCTATAAGACTGATTGCTGATAAGTTACCATATTTACCCATCTATAAGACTGATTGCTGATAAGTTACCATATTTACCCATCTATAAGACTGATTGCTGATAAGTTACCATATTTACCCATCTATAAGACTGATTGCTGATAAGTTACCATATTTACCCATCTATAAGACGGATTTCTGATAAGTTACCATATTTACTCATCTACAAGACTTGTTGCTTTTACAGCATGATATTTACTTGCCTACATGATAGTTTGCCTATGACACATCAAATTTTCTTGCATATTCAATAGATGGACATGCCATTTGGATAAAAATCCAGTTGATCGTTTGTAAAAATGGTCATTTAAATACACTACATTTACTCAGCTATAAGACTGCTGTTATAACATAACATTGCCTGTTTCTGATATGTATTAATATAAGATACCTTATGTTTAATTTTGTGTGATATTACAGAGAGAAATCAGAGTTTGAATTTGTTCAATCAAATGTGGAAACCACACAGAAAAGTGATTCACAGTCTGGACAATTGAGAACATATTCAACAATAACATTCTACTTAACTGTAAGAAGGCACACAGAGTTTTATGGACTAGTCCTTGCCTTACCACTGGTTGTTATATCTGTACTGACGATTCTCACATTCATGTTACCCATTGAGAGCGGAGAGAAAGCACACTACAGTATAACTTTGTTACTGATGGTTGCAGTTTATTATGCTGCTGCCCTGGAATATATTCCTGTGTTTACAGGTGTTTCTGTACTTGGTATGTATGAAAATCATAAATTATTCAAATTATACTTTTGCCAGGGCTTTGTTTTCATATAAGTTTATAAAAGGAAAAAGCATTCAGATTCAGGCTAATTTTCATGAAAATTTTGAAAGTGTGTTTAAAAGTAAAATGTTGCGAAGTGAACATAGAAAGTAATTAACACATTGCAAACAGCACTTACAAGCCATGTAAATTACAAAAATGAGGTTAAAATATGCAAAAAGAGACCTTACTGCAAAGGTCATCCAGTAGAAATATGGTGATAATTACTGTGAAATCAGTCATTAATCATGCATAAATGGAATATTGAATCCTTTTACTTTTCTTCAAATTATGGTACATTTAGCTCAAGTTTGATTTTCATGTATTATTTTATCTCAACAGGATGCATCCAGCTTTTATAATTTGCCACCACTTTTTACTTGTACTTCAGATTATATTACTTTGACATGGATTGATATGTGGTTTCTACCCCTATTTTGAACTTTAAATATGGATATGGATTTTATACCATCCTGTTTATGCTTTGAAATTTGGAATATAATTGCAAGATAATTATGACATTATCTTTTTCATTTGTAAGCAAGAGTTCATAATAAACTCCTTTTGGGTTATAAACTCATTTTGAATAAATTTTTGCCTCTTTTTGATTTCAGTAAAATTTTTCATACTACCTCTCCTTTTGCAATAGTCACTTTTTTAGATCAAGTCCAACTAATTGTACTACATGACGAGAATGAGATATAGTGCTTTTTTGTGTATGGGCAATATCTCCCCTCTACAAAAGGAGATTCTGACCCAAAATAAAAATTCTCAGAATCTAGTTTTGGCACATCAATATATTTTGACTATTTGAGATCTTGCCTTCAAACAAGTAAGGCTTATGTAACATTCTAAATTTCCCAATTTCCAGACTACAGTATGTAATTTATGCCCTCCTCCAGACATATCTTGTTATTTCTAGAGATATAAAACAGGATTTATTTTAATTGTTTTAATTCTCAACTGATAAATTCATGATGCTCTATCTTAACATACCGGTACAGAATATTGAGAATGTTATTTCATTTCATTTAAAAAAAAATAATAATAATGATAAAAAATATATAAATATTATTAATTATGAGAATTTTTCAATCATGCATAGAGCCATATTCTATGTACATGTATTTTGTATTGTTTATTGCTGTTTTCATGTAGCTATGTTTTAAATGAAACATTGTTCTTATTTGGCAAAGTTTTTATTTCTGACGTAAATGTCACATTCTGTTTAGCGTATAGTTAAACAGATGTTGCATCATTTGTTATTTTATAATCATAGTTGTTTCTGAACACGACAGCTAAAGAGAAACGTTAGTTTTTATTGAACTGATTTTTTTTTTGAACTGATTATATATTCCTTTCATTTAAGAATTCATGTATGTTTTTATGATTGTTTTGTGAATGTATTAAAATCTCAAGAGATATTTCGATGATCATAATTATACTGGTATAATTTTTGTTTGTCTTATTTTTCAGTGGGATACATATCTGTAGTGCTTCTATTGGCAATGCTGGCAACATTTTGCGAGTTTCTGGTATTGTATTTTTACCATCAAGATCGCCAGCGTGAAATGAAACCATCTATGGTATCGTTACTACACATTCTGGCCAAGATTACATGTAAATTAGGTTCAACTGAAGATACAAATTCCATGGTTACGTCAGAAGGTACAAGTAGCACGAGAGTGTCGCATCACGATTTACAAGGCTGTTCAAGCTTGCCAAATGGTGGCCTTGACCCTAAAAAACCAGGCAGACTGTCACCAATACATCGTAGGGTGGAGCCTGTGAGAGACAGCTTGCCACCTTTAGAGCCTACACCTCGAACAGATACCAGTCATGTCATGGAACAAGCTACTGTCACAGGCTTACTGCCCGAAAGAAAACCTATCATTAAAGAAATCTTACCAAACAGATGTCCGTGGCAACATTTGGCAAAATGTCTTGACACACTTTTCCTTGTTATTTTTCTCATTATTTCTTTTATTACACATTTCATATTTCTAGTTGTTCTTGGAACTGGTTCACTGTGATAAAATTTGAATGAGCTTTGGCAAATTTTCGACACTATGGTTAAATGAATTGAATTGAAAAATCACTGTAAATGTGCTTCAAATGTTGGTGCATCCTAAATATTTTACATACTGTGATGTTGTAGCAATATAAGCTAGATTTCTAAGTGTTTAATCATGAAATCTGAATGTATTTGAGCTAGTGACATTCAACGAGTATTTGCAAATTTTCAAATCAAACAAGATGTACATATTATTTTACCCCATCGATTTTAAGACAGCCAGACTTTGTGGAATATGATGGAGGAGGACTTAAACTTTGTGCAGCTCTAAATCTGTGAGATTTTATAGACATCTTTCAGATGTAAACGAAGTCTCTGAGACACTTTTGAAATTCTTATGGCATTACAGAAAATCTGTGGCACTTAAAAGAAATCTGCAAGACATTAAAGAAATTTGCATGACACTTTATGTGACACTATACAAATCTATGAGACGTTCTAGACTGCTGTGAGGCACTGCTGAAATCTGTGAGACATTACAGAAATCTGTGAGACACTATAGAATAGAAATCTGTGAGACACTAGAAATCTGTGAGGCATTACTGAAATCTGTGAGACATTACAGAAATGTGTGAGACACTATAGAATAGAAATCTGTGAAACACTATAGAAATCTGTGAGGCATTACAGAAATCTGTGAGACATTACAGGAATCTGTGAGACCTTTAAAATAGAAATGTGTGAAACATTACAGAAATATGTAGGACCTGTAAAATAGAAATGTGTGAGACGTTACAAAAATCTGTGAGACCTTTAAAATAGAAATGTGTGAGACATTACAGAAATATGTGAGACCTGTAAAATAGAAATGTGTGAGACATTACAGAAATCTGTGAGACACTATGAAATAGAAATCTGTGAGACATTACAGAAATATGTGAGGCATTACAGAAATCTGTGAGACACTAAAAATGTGGGAGATAATGCAGATATCTGTGAGGCATTACATAAATCTGTGAGACACTAAAAATGTGTGAGATAATGCAGAAATCTGTGAGACATTACAGAAATATGTTTGACACTTGATAAATCTGTGAGACACTGTAGAAATCTGTGAAACACTATAGAAATGTGTGAAATAATGCAGAAGTCTGTAAGACATTACAGAAATAAGTTTGAAACATGATAAATCTGTGAAATACTGTAGAAATATGTGAGACATCATAAAAATGTTTTGTTACATTGGAACATAATGTAAATTTTGTAAATTTTATATTGTTATAACATATTCAATGCATTCTTTTACTGGATCATTGGTTTATCAATTTAGGAAAATAATGAAAATTGAAGGTATGTTATAATTTTGTTTGCTAACAGCTATCTGTGATAAAGTCCCTGTGGGTTGTGTGTATCATATCTTATCAGAGACTTAAACAACATGCAATAAATGCTTTAGTTTATGTCAGTAAATATTGAATATATTCTATATATGGCACAAATGCATTACATTATTATTTATTATGCAGTATTGTTTTCACAATAAAACTTTATATATTTTTAAATTATAACTTTTAAAACAAAAAGAGCAGTACTTTATTAGTCCAGCACATATTGTGCTAGTTATTGTACATACTTATTTATATTTATATCACTTCTTGCTTGTTTTCAACTTAAATATGTTAAAATGTTAGGTCATTTAGCATTTGTACATTTCATAGAAAATATAAAACAAATAAAAATAATGTTTTAGCCTGTTTTGTTATGAATTGAAACAAACAATAAATATCTGTTAATCTAATGGTAACCCGACAATTTGTGTGTAACATAGTCAACATATAAAAGATGTTTAACTTTATACATACACCACAGACACTTGGGGATCAGACACTGTCCCCCGGGCTTGAACTGCCCCTAGAAATGGTCAATAAAAATCTTGACAAATGCGGCATCTGTCTTAATCATTAAAATTGTTTTATTTTTTAAACATTCCCATAAGAATAAAAAAACCAATGTACCGTAAAGTTTCGAGACTTGACAGTAAATGGGATTTTTTTTATTCTTGTGGAAATGGTTTGAAAACAACATAAATGATTAAGACAGATGCCCAATTGTGAAAAAAAACGTTAAAAGATTTTTAATGACCGTTAACAAGGGCGGTTCAAGCCTGGTGATAGGGTTTGGCCCCCAAGTGTCTGTGATATACACAAGTTATTACTTGAATTCATATACACATATATGGATATTCTACTTCAGTAATTTTTGTCTACATTTGATGACCAGTAACAGACTATACAACAAGAAAAGCCTTTGTTACAATCGATAATGGCTGTCAATGGTTTAACCTTTAGCCTGTTGGAGCCAGAAGTGATCATTCTTTGCTACTGGTGCAGTCCAGCCAGGCTTAATACTTAGTAACATTGAAATCCCTTATATATATAAATGAACTATTCCAAATTCAAAGGAGAACAGAAATTCAGTAGGTTAAGGATTAAAAGATAACAAGAGCGATCAGTAATCACATGTGTCGCCTCATGATGGCCAATTTCATGTTGGGACAAATTTTGTGACAGACGGACAGACAGACGGACAGTGCACAACTAGACTTGGTACTGATCATTCCTGTAAAGTTTGGATGAAATTGCACCAGTAGTTTATGAGGAGTAGTCCGGACAAGCTTTTGTGTATCTGGCAACACACAGAAAAAAAACACCTTTTTATCAAAGGGCCATAACTCGGCCAAAAATCATTCAACCGGAAAACCCGTGCAATATGCGCAAGGACTTGAGCTACAGATCAATCCTGCAAAGTGTCATTGAAATTGCATTAGTGGTATAAGAGAAGTAGTCCGGACAAACTTTAAAATTAAAAATTATTAAAGGGCCATAACTCTGACAAAAATCATTGAACCGGAAAATGCTGACAATATGCACAACTAGACTTGGTACTGATCATTCCTGTAAAGTTTGGATGAAATTGCACCAGTAGTTTATGAGGAGTAGTTCGGACAAGTTTTGTGACAGACGGACAGACAGACGACGGAGAAGTGATCCCTATATGTAGCCACTACTCCGTAGAGGCGACACAAAAATGAAGTAGAAAATGGATATTTACTCTCGTAACATCTCTGATACAGCACTTTGAATGCATTTTGGCATCTGTATTTCAAACAATTGGCTGATGTATAACTCAGAGTACATCATCAACATTATAAGAGAATACTACTGAAATCATGCCTTAATCATATCATAATAATTATCGTCATGTAATATTTAAGTTTCCAGTCTAAAACCTTCGGTCTTAGGCATTCCATTCTTGGACTAAGAAGAAACATGACTGTTACTTGAAATGGTCTCATTTTCTAACTTACAATATCTTGATATTTGAAGGCATTTTAACCATTGCCAACTGGACTGGCTTATATTGTTACTGGTTTTATTAAATTTTTAAAATTTTGAGTTTCTTAATCAGACAGAAATTTTCAAGGTATTCATTACTTTTTTTGGGCAATTTTTTAAAAAAAAAATATGTTTCAACACAGAAGATTTTGTTTGAGATAGGGTCAGGACTTTCAATTTTTTTGAGGCTCAACATATGAGATCACTTGTGTAGAGAAAACAAGCTGTTCATTAGTTACTTGGATATTGTCTCTTAACCTGAAATAACTATCTTAATAAAAGTTTCTGGCCTCATTTCTTTACTACATTATAATTATATGTGTTCACTCAGACTCAGTGATTTGCAAGTTAAGCAGATAGAGGAAGATCTTGGAGCACATCTGCCTGAATTACTAGTGCATTATTTCAGGAGGAAGTGGATGCCCAAGTGGAATCATCAACCTTTAATAAGCTGGACAACTTCATCAAATAAAAGAATTCAATCAATGTTCCTAGCAAGAGCAGCCTTTCATTTTGAAATAATTCAATGAAAATGGCAAGAGCATTATAAACTATAAGCACTTTCATTATCTAGTATGACGGCACACTCGATTATTCTCATTGCTTGATATTAAAACAAGAGCCTGGATAATGTAGAATTTCCTAAGTTCAAAAAGGGTTACGGGCTTCTTTCAGTAGTTTTAGAGATACCAACTTGCATGCAAAAACTTAACCAAAGAGTGATGCTGATTGGGCGCCAGGGTGAGTACAATAGCCCTCCCTATTCTTGGAATAGCTGAGCTAAAAATAAGATGATAAATAACAACAAAAGATATTTTATGTGTTAAGATAACCTTTACTGAGTTAGATATCAGTAAAACAAAGGGATAAAAATACATCACAATATGTCTATCTTAATATACACACTTTATAAATATACAGTCATTCAAAAACGAGACAAATTTACGAAAAAAACAAAAGAAAACTGGAATATAAACATTCTTGTGTTTCTCTATGTACAATTAAAAGAAGACATAAAATCGTGCTGCTAAAATATTTCATTAGTTCTTAAAAACTATATTTCATCATGTACAAATTGTTTAAAACTATAAATTTCATGAAAACAAAGGGTATATATAAGTAGGCATAATAAATTAAAAGGGGTCTAAAAAACAGCTTAGAAAAAAGACAAGATTTAAAGCAATAAAATGATCACCACACTTGATTTATCACACAAATAAGCATATTTTACACATTGTATGTATTTGTTAAATAGATATAAATCATTTCCCAAACTGTTCTGGTAAGTAAAGCTAAACTGCTTTAAAACTTCAACTGCTAATTGAGAATTTTAATCAAGTTTTAGCAATGTAGCCGGTAGTTTTTGTTCTAATAATAGTTAATCAAATGTGCTCCATGGCCTTTTTTTTCTTTATTTGCCGTAAGGTATCAAGTCATACCAAAAACACTTAAGATGACACGTCAATTTTACTGGTGGAAAAAGACTGTGGGTGTCATTCCATGCAAAAATTCAGGCCAACTGCATAATAGGATTCCTGAAATATCAATAAGTCTCTAGCCTGATTTGAACATAAGCAGGAGAGGGGAAAAGGTTGCCAAATGTCTTCTACTTTTCTGTATGTCTTCAATGGTTAATTAAGTTTAAAATAAAATCTAAACATGTATCAAAAGATCATTTATAAACTGTTCAGTGTAAATTATTAAAAAAGTACCTCACTTGAGGCTAGTACATGTATATAGAATAAATAAAATGTTTTTTGAATAAAACCTAAAAATAGTAAAACGTCAACTTAGTGATGTAACGAGTTAAGTCCTTCTAAATTAATTGGGAGTTAACCACTTATTGCACTAAGGAGACGGAATATAAAACATTTTGTTTTAATCAACTGGAGATATACCAAATTATCTGATCTAACAACAAGTAAACAATATTTAAAAGAAAGTTTAACAAAAAGAACTTCATTAAAAAAAGATTTAAAGACAAAGACGAACAATAGAACTTTTTTAACAGTAAAACTTTTTAAAAAACACTTAGAAAAAAAAAATGACTTTTTAACCTAAAATGGCATATCAAAACAAATCTTGCTTTTTAAGAATAGATTCTTAACAAATTGAAAAATAGAACACATTAAAAATATTCTAATCAAACAATCTTATCAAGTAATAACTCATTAGTCACTAAACAATGGCAGTGCAGTATAAGAACAAATGTACATTACACTGTCAAGAACATTTAAAAACTCAAGAAAACATCAAAGTTATCAAGAGGGATAACTCTTGAAGCATATTAAAAAAAAAAAAAAAAACCTCAAAAACTGTGACAAGGTACTAAAGGAAATTATAACATTATATAATCAACAGTTAACAATATTTCAAAGATTCACCTAAACAGTCTGTAAATCAGATATTATATAAAAGTGCTGCAATTTACCTGAAACATCTCTCTTTTCCAGAGAAGAGAAAAGAAAAGCTGGTGTATATAAATAATTTCAGAATATTCAGCAGTGCACATTTTTGTCAGACATTAAAATAACCAGAATATAATGGCTGTATAAATTGGTATAAGTTGGTAAAATTCTTTCCAGAGATAAATATTACTAAGGCAGCCAAGATGAAAAAACTAACAATAACACACAATGTTTACATGGTATAATGATGGTATCTTTTTAACTATATGTATAACTACCTTTTTAACAGTTTAAACTATTCATTCAATCTTTATAGGCTGACAAAGTTCAGCTCAAACGTTAATTGAAGAAGCCCCTATAATCTTGTTCTTATGGTTAAATCAAAGACATTATATATTATCTCTAGTAGATTAAAAACCAGTCCTGGAATGAACTGAAAAACCCATGTTGAGATGCCTAAATCCAAGTTTCAAGAATCCTGACCAGAGTGTCTGAGAGGTGTTTGAGTGAACTGTTAACACCTAAAAACACTGTATCAGCCTATCCTAAGTAGCTCACTATGATTCTTATCTATAATTTCCGGCATGTATCTAATGCACAGCATTTATACAGGCACTCTCTTTAAAGCAAAATACAAGACTGCAAAAAGCTCCGTTTGAAAAATTCATTTTGTACACAAAAATGACTTATTTTTTCACATATAACTAAACCAAAATTGTTTTCTTTTTGATAGTTGTCAAAAATGTGTTGTAAATGAACAATCTTAAAATAAGGTAGAAATTAGGAATAATTTGTTTTGAAGTATGTAGATCTATCTTTTAATGAAATATTCATCATAAATACAATTATTTGTACATTTTTTGTATCTGAACAAAATTAGACAGTTGCAATGACAATTTTATTTCAAAGACAAAAAAAATTGTGTGCATATAAAATAAAGTATACATTTTACATTGAGCATTTCTGAACTATTTTAAGAGTTTAACTGTGTGAATTATACAGGGAACAACATCTATCACAAACCATCTACAATACCTTTACTATAAATTCATTATTACATGTACTTTCAATTACAAGAGAAACATCTCTTAAAACTAAACTCATTATGTTAAATTTTCAGGTGGACCAGTTATATATACTATAAATATATACAATAACAAGTTTCTATCATACAAAAGATAATAAAAATCAAATGTCTAAACCAGTCTGAAAATGCTAAACTTCTATTGGTTCATTTCAACCTTGCAGTCTGAAATAGCCAATCAAATGCTCAAAATTTCTGACTGGTTTACAAATTTGAATTTTAGACTTAACCAAAGACAAAGAAACATCACAGAACATCTCTACAAGTGAGATCAGTCGGAAAATAAAGAAATGAAGCACAAATCTTGCACAGAGAATTATCTCCCCTTTCAAATACTGAAACAAGCACTGACTATACAAACAAAATAATAATAATATCTAAAGCAAACAGAAGAATAATAACAACACACTCGTTTCCTAGCACTAACACATACATAAATCTAGAACTTAAAGTTCAAATAACACATATATAACCTCGCACAATGCAATTCAACATTTAATAGTCCAAATTTACATGAAGTATAATTATATACTATACAATTTGCTATTAGTACAGCAAACATTATAATTAGGGTGTAAAAATCTTCTTAAAAATTCCTGAGAAAAATCAAAAATAAATATAGAGTTTAACATCTACAAGAAACAACAAGATAAAAACAGTTCTTCTAATAAATACAAGGGGTGATATTAACAATATAAAGTTATCTCTAGTTATAAAACATGGTGTAAATTCAATGATGTAATGTATCACCAGAGAATAATTTATACTTGGCCCTATGAATATACCGGTAGTCTAACATTCTAAGCTAACAACTGGCCAAATATTTAGCCTGATTATGATCATTCATATCTTCATCATCACTGAACCATGACAATCTATATCTAAACCCATTGTCCTGTACTAACCACATCAATTTTTATCTAAATCCATTGTTCGGTACAAACAGAATCAATCTAAATCTAAATCCATTATATGGTATTGCCAACACCAATCTAAATCCATTTCTGGTACGGTCCAGTCACTATCGGTGATGGATCGATCCATTTAGTTGAGACAGTCTCTGTAGTATTGGAATCGCAACGATTCGTATTACAATTCCACATAAACTTATATTCTGCTTTCGAACTCTTCAGTAATTCTGCAATCTCTGCTTCTTCATCAGTTAATTTTTGCTTCTTTCCGCCCTTTAGACTATTTTCAATCTCCTGCATGTCTACATAGCCCCTTTCCAACTGCATCTGCTCCATTTCCTTCATTTTCATATCTTCGAGTTTCTTTTTGTAAGCATACATACCATGCCTTTCTGTATTCAAATTCTTATGCTGATAAAAAACCAAACTTATTCTTGTAGGATGATACCTATTAGGGTTTTTCAGTCCTGTTGTGGCATGGAGCTCGCGTTTGGCTACTTCAAAAAGAACCGCCCTATGACTCAATGCTATAGCAACTCCTCCCATCTGTGCATCTCTGAAAGCTTCCTCATTGTATTGCATCTCACACTTTACGACATCGGGATCTGGGAGGCTTGCATCTTCTGAATTTAACTTCTCAGTTTTAACAGTATCAAGCCTTTCGTGGAACTCAAATCTGTTCGGATCGTAAGGTTTCCAGCAAGGATTCCCGGAATTCATTCCAACTTGTTCGTACTGATTTTGCATTTGTGTATTTTGTTGATTAGCCTTGGCGAATTCTGGAGTTGGAAAATGACTAGGATGTAAAGAATTATTTTCTGTATGATAATGTCCAAACTTAGGAACACCAAACTTATTTTCATCTGACTGAGGTTTATTCTGTTGACTATGTTTATCTGGGAATCCTTGCTGATGAATTGCTCTTTCTGTCTGTAAATCACTATTACTACTATTGGCATGTGAGAGAGTGCCGTTGAAACCTACTTGCTTACTACGCATGTCCATGGCCTTTGTTAACAAATCCAACGGAGACTGCTGAGATCTGTTTGCATTCATAGAAGACTCCAGCGAATGATTTTGAGGTAGAGATTTTGCAGGTTCTTGCATGGATTGACTTCCCCAATTTTCCGATGGTGGCACTGTTAGGTCCTGACTTGTTGCAAGTCCATCAGATTTACTGCTGTTAGATGAAAATGAAAGATCCAAAGCCTGTGAATCTGTTTTAAATCCTGATGGCACATTACTTGTTTTATCTGCTGCCTGTTGATGGCTTATTTGTTTATTTTCACTTCCCCCATTGACAAAACTACCCTGATTTGCTGTTTCATTTCGGGCAGTAATTCCTGACTGAATGGGTCTATCTTTTGTACTAAAGTTTTCATGCGTATCATTTGAACTGACACTTGGTTGTTTTTCCTGAAAGCTAAAGTTCACTGCTTCTCCATATGAGGGTGGAGGTTTGCTATAGTATTGAGGTGGATCACTGAATGGATTTTGAACTTGAACAGAACTTGAAGCATATACAGATGAATTTTGTGGGTCATTTTTAAAGTTAGCCATGTGTTGTTGATCGTGTGGCCTAGACACTTGATGTTGATGTTGCGAATTAGCCATGTGTTGTTGATCTTGTGGTCTAGAAATTTGATGTTGATGTTGCGAATTAGCCATGTGTTGTTGATCTTGTGGCCTAGACACTTGATGTTGATGTTGCGAATTAGCCATGTGTTGTTGATCTTGTGGCCTAGAAACTTGATGTTGATGTTGCGAATTAGCCATGTGTTGTTGATCTTGTGGTCTAGAAACTTGATGTTGATGTTGCGAATTAGCCATGTGATGCTGATCTTGTGGTCTAGAAACTTGATGTTGCAAATTAGCCATGTGTTGTTGATCATGTTGCCTAGACACTTGATGTTGCGAATTAGCCATGTGTTGTTGATCTTGTGAAATGGCAGTTTTTTGTTTATCCTGAGAATTTGCCATGTTTGAAGGCACTGAGCTTCGGTTTAGAGCATTAACAGAAGTTAAATGATTTGGTACATCTTGCTGCCTTTTTTCATTCAGTTTAAAATTCCCTGCATCCAGAGATTTATCCTCTCCTGATGCTTGCAGACTGGCTGCTAATATTGCTGGTGGAGGGAAAACACCAAAGGAGTAAAAATAGTCCCAAAAGTTATCATACAGTGTACTAAAGCCTTCCTGAGTTGACATGGACATGAGATCATCGTATGAGATCGGTTTATCACTGTTGAATGGTAACTTCATCGCAGATTGTTTAACGGGTGTGTTATTATGGGAGCTTGCAGGACTAAGCAGGGCCTCTTGCCCTTGTAAAAAATCTTTCTTTGGGGTAGACTGAGCCGACGATGAGGAATCCCAAGGCGAAGTTCGACCATTCATTGTTTGCCGGGAACCGCCTCGACCTCTCTTGCTCATGCGACGTTTCTTACATGACTGTAGAGGGTGGGCTCTCATTCTGGCCTCAAGTGGAAACTGATGCAGGACTTCTAGAGAACCATTCTTTAACTTGTTGCACTGTCCGTCATAGCTACCAGCCTCATCCGTAGGGTCTAGCACATAAAGAGGTAACACATGAAGCTGTTCATCCTCAGGCTTTGACAATCCTCGGTGTTTTGTTAGTGTAACCACCTGAAGCATAAAAGCGAGCAAATAAATTTCAATGTATGATTTTATTGTTTATTCAGCCTAACATGCAGTCTGGTAATATCAAAAAAAAAACCCAGCTTTTATATTAATGAAAAGACAGTTATTTGGTCTGAAGTTAAAATTCTAGTTTATTGAACAACATGTCAGTTAATGTAAATACAGATTATTTTTAGCTCAACAGTGATGAAAACTCCGTAGCTTATTTAAATTACTCTTGAATTCCCTTCCTGCAATTAACCAATATAAGGAAGTAGTAGACCTACCACAGTGCTGCCATTGTTCATATTGTGAATATCTTTGTGGGCATGTGCGCAGAAATCGAGACATGCTGTTACACCGGAGAAGGGTTTACCCTCTGCATCACCTAGTCTACAATCCTTCGCCTTGTCTGAGTAGTAACACTGAAATGAACAATAAGGATACTGCTGATTCTAAACATGTTTCGTTGTTGTTGTTCGGTTTAAGTCACACTCACACAAAGTTATATCTGATATAAAAATTAGGATTCAAATTAACAAACAAATGTGGGGTGGGTTTTTTTTGCTGTCAAACTTGTGTTTATTTCAATCACTGTTGGGCAACTTTTAATTATAACATTTTTCATAACAAACAAACAGGAAGTAAGCTTAATTATAATCTACAATTAAGTATAACTGGTTAAAATAATGACTCACATAGTATAAAATATTTACAAAATTCATAATGACAAAAACTATTTGACTAAATGTCCATTTACCACCACAATATACATATATAAATTTTTTTTCTACTGCTACTACTCCTTAATTTAGACTTTAAACTGGAAGTACTATTTCTTTGTTAAATTCAGTAATCAATTAATAATATATACTGATCTTTAACTGATACATTACAATTTCATTGAGTCAATGATGATCAAATAAAAGAAAGGTTTATTATACCTGATTGGCATGGGCATCAGGTGCACACTGTTGATATAATGGTCCAACATGTGTCGCCAATGCTTGTAGTTTATCCTCCAACTGTTCTTCCTGCAAAATACAATACACTTGACAATATAAAATATTCTCTTATAACAATATTACACCAGCTGCTGGTACAGACGGAAATATCAAGCTTGAAGATAACTGACCATGACCTCTAACATACCCGAGAACTGACCTCAAGCATTATCTAGATATTATAAATCATGCACAAGTTACTGTCAGTTTTACTTTCAATTACCATTTGGATATTAAAACTTTTACCATCAAAATTTGTAAGTTCTATTTAAGATGACATCTAAATCAATTGCATTAGAAATACCTGTTGAATAAATACAATGTCTGTAGACAATTTACTAAGCAAAAATCTTAATGTATTTTCCATATTTGCAGAAAGTTTGGACTGTAAACCAGTAGCATTAGGCATCAAACGAATCCCGAGCTGAGAGCAAAATGATATGGCAAAAGACAAAACAAACATGGTGCACAAAACCCTCAAAATTATCACACAGAAAATTTCTGCTATTATATATGTACCTTGTCTTCGTTCTTCAGCCGGAACTTCCTGGCATGTGTACTTCTTGCAAATTTACACCCATTAAAATACATGCTCCAGGAACAGCCAAATGAGAAAGAGGCCCCTCTCTTCATTAGATAGGCACCCTGACATGCACATGTTTTCCTGGAAAAAATCATCATTAAATTGTACAAGTGCTAGAGATGATATTGACAGATACCAGTATAGAACCAAACCAGCCTGGCTGTCAGTGGAGTCTGATAATATAGTATATTTTTAGATGCTAAATTAAAAAATCTTGACAAATAAAACTCTGTAGAAAGCCAAGACCAAGCTAATTACACAAGTTTAGTGGATTACACAAGTTTAGTGGAGCTATGATTAAAGATTAATGCTTTCGCCTCTTTAAATACAACTTCAAATTTACAGAATACAAATACTAGCAACACCATAGTTCTGGTTTTATTTGAAGTCATAAAAACTTTAAATCAGCTATAAAAGGCATTCAATTATCAATCTATATGTGGAATTGTTATGCATTAGCCTTTAACACACTTGTCAATTTTTATCGTAAGAATAATTTAATTGACAGTAATATGATTACTATGAAGTCCTTTAATATCCAAACCAACAAATCAAACATCTTTATATCAGTGTGAGAATAGTGAATGTAAAAAATCTATACCTGTCATTTGTGCCACAGCGTCTCTCAGTCTCGTTTCCGTATGATGGAAGAGTTTTAGAGAGGTAGTCATACAAGTGGTCGGCCTGCATGGCTGGTACACCTTCCCACGCAACAAGGGCAATAATAAGCCATGCCGTCTCACATACATGATTCACACGGTGACGTACCAGAGCCAGATACTTCTCATCATCACCTGACCGTCGCACAATCTGAAAAAATTACCAGGTACATTAATAAATATAAAGATTGATTCCCTATAAATCAAACCATATCAGAAATTATTATTTTTTAAGTCAGGTTAATTTTTTAACAGGAGGATCAAGAAAAAATTTGTCAAATTATGTGCATATAATAAACAAGAATATTACCCAAATAGCATATTTGCAAAAATTATAACAATCTTAATCATTTAACCATAGTTGAATCCAATAAATTACTAACTAAACTTCATTTTTAAATCTTTTAAAAAACAGATCGTTAATTTGCTACAGCAAATGAAAACTTGATAAATGCTTTTAGATTCTTATCCCTTCAAATCTTTTAAAATCACAGAAACCCAGGGTAATTGTAAGAAAACAGGCATGTAAACAACTATCCTAAACACATAAAAAAATTGATTAAATCTGAATATAAATAACCTACCCATTTAGCTATAGGACATCCTTGCTTACTTTTACCTTCCTTCCCAGTGTATCTGACTTTCTCAATCCTGATAGATTTACCACTTTCACCAGTTCTGAAGAAAACAATTATCATCATGAAAACAATGTTATATAAATAAAGTTTAATATGTTTAAATATCAACAAATTGTAGACAATGCTCAGAATGTATAATTTATTTCAGTATTTTGGGAACATTACCCCATAAATTTATCATTTTGGTGCATGCACTTAAACACTCAACAAAATTCAATGATTCGCAAGCTCATGTTTTAATCAAACCTTAGGGGCAAGTCTTTCCTTAGTGTTGACGCTCATGTGTTAAGTTAACAACCTAATTTATTGTATCTTTCAAATTATCAACACTTCATGCAATAAAAACTTTAATAAATCTAATCTACATTATTCAAGAAACTAAACCTCATGTATTTAATGAAATCAAGTCAGATCATTTTGCGATTGTATAGAAAGTACTTTTCAGAAACCTCAGAGGTGGCCAAAGATCAGTCAATCAATTCAGCCAGAAAATGCCCGATGTTTGTGGTGTTGCATATTTTTTCTTAAACCTACACTTTTCATACAAAAAAATATTTACAAACCTTTTCTCTAACGTTTTTCTGATGGCTTCTACACTGCGACCAGCACCCAGATGTGTATAGTACGGACCGTCAATGGTTTCACTAGATATATCTGAAATGTTATATAATATGATAATCATTAAGTTACATAAACACATAAAACATCAAAATCATTATATATAAAGGTTCAGTGATTTTTTTTATCACATTAAATAAAAGGCATGGGGGTGGGGGGAATTTCGGAAGACAAAAGAAATTTACATATTAATTTGTAAAATTTTAATCTAATTATTCAATTTTTTTTTTAAACGAGAAATTTAATTACTCTGATGTATACATGTAAGTGTATAATACCATTACAGTCTAGACAAGTTTATGGCTATTTGCACTTAAATCTTGATGTAAATGAAATTTGTGGCCCATTTAACAGAGATATATAGTGTACAAGACATTTAACTCGTTCTAAATTCTCGGTAATAAAATAAATATTTATGTTACACATCAATCTTCAGAGCGTGGGGGTTGTTTGGTTGGGTTTTTTAAAGTCACTCAGATATTCATAATGATATTTTTTGTAGCAGACATTTCCCAGCTTTGATGGTGAAGAAAAACGTCAAGACCCCCTTTCACGAGTCGTTTCAGATGAGGCACAAGCAGGCACCTGATTATATAACAAACACTGGCCCTCTGTAAGCTGGCTGGATAGCTACCTCACATAAAAACATCCGTACTACGTTTCTCATGGGATTCAACCAGACAGTGTTGTGAGAGGTGATTCCTTACCAATTTAGCTAATATGGGCCCCTTTCACATGGGAAAGGTATTTGTAACCTTGAAATTAATATAGCATAAGGGCCACTTACACATGGGAAAGGTAACCTTGAAATTTATAGGTAAACACAATAAGCAAATTAGGTAAGATCTTAATGAACTTACCCTCTGTACCGGGGCATCCACAATTAGGTATTTCAATCACTGTATTCCTCTCTAAATTATTGTCCTGCCCAGTGACCTGTTCATGTAGATCACTAATCTGCTCTGATATTTTCTTCATCCGCTCTTTGTCTTGTGGCACGGCTGAATCATTGAACTCATTTATACCGAATCCGTTATCAACCATGCCATGTGACCATGACCTTGACCTTTGTACAGGTTGAGGGTCATTCTCAGAAGACTTGTCTGCACTTCTTGACCTCTGACATTTGGCAGCACATGACGTCTGCTGACCTTCAAGATCTGTATTGCTTTTATCTGTTGCAGATTGCACACTTTCTGAGACCTGACAATTTTTACCAGATATAGATACAGTAGTATTGTTATCTGCGGCAGGAAGGGTACCGCGACTTGCGGCTTTGTCTTCCGCATTCAGCATGCTGGCTGCTATAGTTGAATAGCCATTATTATATCCATGTGGTAGCTTATATTGTTTCCTAGATATAAGGTCCTTTAATGTTAGTGGCGGAAATCCAAGATTTTTTATTAATTTTTCAGCAAAGTCATCTTTTGGCTTTTTAACATACTTTGGGTTATTTCTCCATTTTTTACGGATTGCTGGTAATTTCAAATTATTATATTTTGGAGTCTTTTTGTGCATTGAAAATGAAGACTTAATTCCATAAGATTTTCCAAATTTTTTCGTTATACCGAGTGGTCCAGAAGGCCTCTCGATTTTTGTTATATTTTTCAGCTTGTGTGGTGTCTTTTCAACTTTAACCCCTTTTTTATTATTTACTCCACGATATTTGTCCATGTAATTCATATTATTAACTTTTTTGTTCTCCGGTAAAAATGGAAATTGTCCCGTATTCCAACTTTTCATTACCTCTGGTCCATTGTTAACACTTTTATGACATTTTTCAGGAAATTCAGATATATTTACACCTGATTTACTACCTTCATTGCTATTAGAGTCTGCTTTTAATTCATTTATGCCACTATTATTCTCTTTTTCATACATGTAATGATTTAAACTGTTTTTAATTTGACTATTTACATTCAAATTGGGATGAAAACCATTCAAAGGTACGTTTTGCTGACTCATCACTTTGTCAGACATTTGGAAATGGTGATGATTACTATATTCCACTTTTTGTTTCAACTGCTCATTTATTTTCACTTTTTCTCTAAACTTATTTTCAGCATGATGGACACCAAAAGAATTCACATCAGGATCTGATTTTAACATATGTTTCTCTTTGTTATATCGCCTTATGTCCATTACTTGATGGGGTAAGTCCTTGTATGAACTTTTACTGTGTATATTTAAATTGTCTGCACTTTCATCAAAGTCATAAACACTATTCTGTACAGGTTTAGCTTGATAAGTTTGGTGGCCAGGATGTGGTTTAGGCCAGTTACTTGCATGAACTTGCTGATTATCATAATTACTTGCCACGTGTCCGCTTTGTTGTTTCGGGGATTTGACATGTCTAGATTTCTCAGCACTCGTTTTTGTTTGAGCTTTCTCTTTACAAGCTGCCATTATCTCTTGAACTTTGGCATCCACTAAAGCCTCTATAGCAGGGTCCTCAGAAAAGCTTTTCCTTCTTGTTAGTTTTTCATCTTTCTTTCTCTTCTCATCAACTTTCTCTTTTTCAACAGGATCATCTACACTAGTTACTTTAGATGCATCACTTTCATCTTGCTTTTGTCTTTTTTGTGCTTGTATAAGGCCATCAGAGTCACTGAGAAAACTTGATGTCCTTTTTGAAGTATTCATTTCTGCATTTTTGGACATCTGAAGTTCAACATTTGGGGGTGGTAAAACAAATTCAGACCACATATTGCCTTGAACCGACCCGCCTTGAACTGATGGGGGCTTTTGTAATGGTGCATCAGATTGGCCTTGTACTGGCATGGAGGAATAACCTGGCATTGGCCCAGCAGGAGGTCTGTGAGGCTGCTGCATTGGACTAACAGACTGCCCTAGCATTGGCCCATCTGGAAGTTTTGGAAAAGCAGAATGCACTTGATTCTCTGGGCGGAAGTCGACAGGAGGCTTGAGCTGCAGAGGCTGATAACTGTGACTTGAAGGCGGTACAGGAAACCCTTGATGTTCTGATGATAATGATGGCTGCTGCCTATGTTCATTTGATATGTTTGTAAATGGTGACTTTAGTTTCCTGTCTGAAAAAGCGAACCCTGATTTCATATTGGACAGATTTGCTTCTTCTAGAATCCTAGCTGCTTCTTTGCTTGCGGCATCATTCAACAAACCGTTCGGCATAGAGTATGTATCAATGTCCCTGGGTTTTGAATAATATGGTATAACACTGGCAGCAGTCGACGGTACTGGCATAAGATCTGCTGAGGTAGTTGACTGTGATGACACATTTAATGACATTGAGCCACTGGTTGATGCTGGCGGCAAATATGCATTCTTCCATTTCAGATGAGAAAACGCTTCACTTGAATGCATACTGTGAGTGTTTACTTCTCCAGCTGACATGTGAGGCAAGAATGGCAACGATGGTAAATCTCTTCTTGTATGTTGTGATGAATTTGATGAATGTCTCATTTTTTCTTTACTTGAATCCAAAGTATCCAAATGATCATGTTTATATAAACCATTCTCTATAGAAGAGTATAAATCATTGGAAGTTTTGTATCTATCAGACAGAGAATGAAATGCTGGAAGGCTGCCTGGTAAAGGTACGTCAGTTGCACCTTGAGAGGTCTCGAACATGGATCTAGATGGGAAGCCATTCATTTCTTGTAATTTATGTAAGTATGAATCCATGGATGATGTAGGTGTTCTGAGATCTGGATTAATCCATGGAAGTGGAAGTCTTGGATTCATGACTGACTGCATGGGTGGTAAATGAGAATGTGCTGGCAGTTGTGACAGCACAGCCGGGGGCTGAAGCCCCTGAGCTGCCTGCTGGTAAACATCATATGGGCTAAGCCCCTGCCAAGCAAATGGAGAGGCAGCACCATGCATGATTTCCTGAGCTTTTTCCTGAAAAGAGATAAACACACGGTCTTTATTTCTACAAAACATTTTGCACAAAACAATCATGGACAGAGGGTAACAAGCTTAGAAAAGAAATTTAATCAATGCCTCTTTTTAAGTTGCATATTTGCTAAAATGAAGTCTTGTATTGTAAACAGTCTTTATGACAAACTCTCATAAAATGTTCTCCAGTTATTTAACAAAGCTGTCAGCTTGCAAGAGTCCTTATTATAATCAATAAATCTCCATTTCAGATGCTGTTTTTCTCACATCAATCAATAACAATTATTACTTCAAAATGACTCAGATATTTTCTACACTTTTATACCAATATCTACATAATGCATCATCATCATCATTAACATCATCATAAAACACCACTGATAAATACAATGGGCACAATTTAAACTCTTAAATCCATTTCCCCTTTGGTAATAAATAGTGTAACTTTGTTACCTATTTGTGAAAACTCTCAGACAACTGTGAATTTTTCACTTCATTATGAAGCTTAAAATCTTTTACACACTTTGAAAAGAAACATGTGCACCAAGAAAAAAAAGTCCAACTAAAATCGGCCCGTCACAACAACCTTACCATTTAAACACAATGTCATTATTTCGTCTGGCAATAAATCTACCTCAATAACCAAACACCTATTGCAAAATAAACTAACTGGGATAAAATGCTAATTTTGTAATACGTCTATCTAGAGACGCGAAAGGTTATGGGAAAATTCAGTCTGGGCCACTATACGATTATGTACCCAGACCAATCTGACTTGGTAATAACAGCTTTAACTATTGGCGAAAAATTGCTTTTATATTTTTCTCCTACAGTATGAATTAGGGTGTCTACCCTTTAGAGCTTCATTACAAATTCAACAAGATTTCGGGACAATTGGAAACTCTCATTTATGACGAGATGTAAAGTTAACATATAAGGGTATCCAATTGCCCGATTGTAAGGTGTAAAAATAATTCTTAGTGGCATTTCACCTTGTCTTAGTACCAGCACACACTAACCAGATCTACGACTTCGACGGCACAATAAATCTCCGCGCTTCTAAATAAATGATACCTCTAACCGGTCTTAACTTTTAGTTACGATATTTCAACGTCATGCAAATTGTGTACAAAATCTCAGTATTGCTTATTTGAACAATCTCCAGAATACAATATATATGTGAGAAAGTTGACACAATTGAATATGATAGCGTTGAAGGGAGCCAGGATCACAGAACTCTCGTCCTTTCATCTAAGTAATCAGGAACACCTCTTAGAACAACTACCCTATTTCATCATGTGACAGAGGGTCGCACATATTTACCCTGGCATTTACCCGACTGGCATTTAAATAAGTAAGTATCTGTTAGATAACATCAAACTATCTCAACATTGCCAAGTCATCTTGTCGAACAAATTACTATATCAACATTTCACACCACAACACGGGCTACTTATTTTTTCAATCAATGAAATATATCTTCTTGTCAACCATTATCAAACTAAAGTAAAACAGGTCAATAAATCTTGATATTATAATTTGAAGTGTCAATTTCAATTCAAATCTTTTCAGTATTCTTATTCTTCTTATAAACCGCAGCTTTTTAATAGACATTAAATATTTCACTACTATCTCAGTGCAAACCATAGTATAACATACACTGTATGTAAGTATGTCTATAAATTGAAAGAAAATTATTATATTATACAAATTTACATACTTGGTGCATGGCGATGTTACAATTTACTACTTAAGATTTCTTTATTTACATTAAACCAGCAGAGCAAACAGATTCAAGTACGACCTAATAAAAACACCATTCAGTAGTTTATTTGCCAATTTACCCTACATTCGACAAAAGAACAACAGCAGTCTGGGTAAATAGTAAATAACTGCACTAGACATGAACAGTGAGTTGAACTGGGTCATATAGCTATTTTACTAAACCATCTCTCTATTATACATCAACATCGTAACATATGCTTTAATCATAAACACAAAATTCCTACAAGTTTTCTCCAGAAAAAATAATCAAAGAAATATGTTTCATGCCTGCACAGGTGTTTAACGCATACCGATTTTCTTTATACTGTACACATTACCAATTCAGAAGTTTTTTCCATTAAATTCCACAGACTACTAATGCACTATACACTCTGCACACATTGGTACAAACAAGTTAAACTGGTCAGTGAAAAAAAAACACGCCTATCTCAACTGTGAGTTAACCTTCACGCACTGATTTATTTATGCAATAACTATTCCACTTAAGATTTAAAAATTAAATTTAAATGCTAATTGTAAATGAATCACAAATTTGACATTATATCGCTTGACATGGATATCTAAAAAGATAATATTAAATAAATGTATTTAAACCATTTTATAACCAATGTGCGAGTTTTGGTATAACAATCACTCTTTTGACGAAAAAAAAAAAATTTTTTTGATCCTCATTTAAAAGTAATCAACAAAGACGTTGCATGATATTATCATTAATCTATCAAAGTAGAATTAAACAAGAATAGTTTTTTCAAAGCTTAACACGCATAATTGCGGGACTTTTTATTAATAAGGCTTAACTCTCCATTGACTCTCGTGTTTTTATCTGAGATTGAAATGAATGCCATTAAACAGAAGTTTACGTAACGTTATAACCTATAGCTAAGTCGTGTTTAAACCAGTACTATCGAAATATTATCAATCTGGCTATTTCATAAGTTTATATTACATAACAAACAGCGCACTGGACAAAGCGATAAGCAAAAAAATAAAAAAATAAAACTCAATATCAAAGTTATGTTTTACAATATCGTTAAAATGGTTCATAGTAAAAATATGCCAGACAAACAAAAACCACAAATGCTAAAAATAAACACAGCGATTATTCATCCCCACTTCACAGCACACCAAAACGATAATAATCTCGATAAGTATGTCAAGTTTATGCTCTGTATCTATTTATAGAAATGGAATTTCCAATGTTATACACAAGCAAGCGAAGCCGTGTTGGAGCGGTAATGTAGATTTAACTAGTGACATTGTTTCGCAAATGATTTTAAAAAACTATTCAGTGGCAATTTTTACAATTGCGTTAAAGTGAAACAATACGAATGGGAAGCGATGATTTTTGCTGCGAATAATTTGTTACAGAAGAGCGTCAAATAGAATATTGGCATTTAACACGTAAAGATCAAACAGCGCTCAGTATTAACGTAGAACTTACAGCAAACTCTTATAGTTAACGTATTAAACTAGTGCAAAAAAAATCTTTAAATATATTCCCATTGTTGTAAACGTCTAAAGTATTGAACTTATAAATAGTACTGATCAGTATATTAAAAGTAGCAAAAATATCTCCATTAAAATATGTTAATTTATGCAAATCAAGCAAAAAACTGAATCATCATACATGATGCAGCATAGCCATAGATGTAATGTATGTTTATATCTACAGGAAAGTTTAATATGAATACCCTGACCTATAATCATCAATGAACATGCATAAACATGAAGTATATAGCCCATATATTCACCTGTGTGTTCCCAGCTCTTATAAACTCCTATATCACATGTCCATTTCCATATGTTAAACTTAGGTGTATTTATCCACTATCTTTGTATAAATTGAACCCAACTTGATATCTCCACTAAGCTATTAAGGTACATTCACGATAAGTCATCCAGAGAAAAGAATTAGAGCAAACAATACCGCTAGTATCTCACTAACAAACAACAATACACAAAACTAAATCCAATTTCACTGTACATGACCTAGTAGAGAGCCATTGATAACATTGCTAACAAAGCAAAAGCAATATTGATCAACTCTTGAGGCAAAAATAGGGAAGACTGTGTCCAATATGTCAGTCAATATTGCCTCAGTTTGAATGTTCAGTCAATAAAATGTATGACTAGGGCTGATCCATTACTACAAATAAGGTAGATCAGGCTTGTCAAGTTTTTAATTTAAACCTCCTACATGTAAAACTGAAAATCCTAGTCTGAAATGAATTGTGTAGGACACACACACAAGTACATATAGCATAGAGATAAGTGTCCAATTGTCAATGCAATAAATTCATAATAATTCATAATAAGGACTTCCTATTTGCCCTGGGGCTGACAAATCACAATGAACAGTTAACTGACTGATAATACAGTTATAGTATAGTTTTCTTCCTCCCCAATAACTGATGACCCAATTAATTCTTGTCTTTATTACTGGGGCCTATTCATTGTCAGTGTAATTATCTATGGGTAATCAATTGTGTGACTGACCTGTGAACCCTGACCTGAGTGGGGACAATGGGTAAAATCTGTCTGGTAATTTAATTTTAATGGGGACTATATCCTGTTAGATCCAAATCTTTGCACTATTAAACTTTAATAACAGTTTTTAACAGAAAAATCATGTATTTAATTAAAATGAAGATGTTATCACATTTGCAAAAAAGCAACAAAGAACTAAATATTGATCAGTTTTAATAAAGAAATCAATTAAAACTGGATCAATATTGGCTAGTGTTAGATATTGAATACAACAAATTGATAGAGTGTTTTCTATATGCTGAATCACTAAACAATTCTGCTAATAGAAAATACTGTCTTTATTATTTTCTAAATTGATTATCTTAAAAACAGACAAAAGATCACAAATCATAAACTAAACAGTTTTTTAAAAATTGTTCACCATTTATTACTTAAAGGCCCAATAAACCTAAAAAAGCTATTATTTTTCTTTCCCAAAAGCGTTTTATGTTGGGTTTCTTGTTACATTTTTTTTGTAAAAGAAATGCCTAGGCATTAAAGTTGAACTATCATTAGGGTTTTCTGTTCTTTGGCATTTAGTACAATTACAGCGATTCAAAATTCATATCAAAGCCAAAATACCAGTTTGTTAACATTTTTCCACCTTTATTACAAATTATTTCTAATTCAGCAATTCTTTCTACCATTGATAATCAAATAACATACTTAAATCTATTATTATATCATTTTAAACTTACAATGTTTGCCATTCTAAAGAAAAAATAATTTCTGAGGCATAACGGGCCTGTAAGAAACAGCTTAAAAATAAAATATTAAATTCTTCCAAAATCATAATGTACGAGTACATGTATGCGTTATTTCCTGTATCAAACAATCACGTAGAGATAACTTTATAAAGAAGCACTAAAACTTGGATGATATTTTATTTTTCTGTTGAATTGTTCATTTTTTACTAAAATATTTTTGGATATAAATTCAATCAATTATTCTTAAACTGTATTACAACTATACGTGTACATGTATATAACATCTCATAAATAATTAAGTCTCTTGAAATAAGAACAAAGAATGAATTTTACGAAACTCATTACATATTAAATGGATCATTCTTACTTCAAAAGACGGCAAGTCCATTAATACAAATATTCAAGTGTCAAGGTTGATTAATCTCATAAAAATTACAAATTTACAGAAACCTTCTTTAGACTTAAAATATTATCGGTCCGTGAAAATTTACTTTTTTTTGTGACATTCGAACATACTTTTAACTCGACATTAAAATATAAAGGATAAGAATTTTTTTGAAATCATGTGAAAAAAATTTACACGATCTAATTATTTATTTCGACTCGTTTTGAACAGAAACCACTACGAAATTAATAAAGCGCAAGAACACACCATCTACCTTTCGCTTAATTATTATTCGCGTAGTTAAATATACTCTCACAGTAATCAATAGTAAACAATTACACTTCAGACTGAGACTGAGAAATTGCTGACCGACAGGGTCAATGCATACTACAACGTCTCGCTGTGCTCTAAAAATAGCGCAGGGAAAAACCCTACAGCCTGTTATTTTTCTCTATCCATGATAGTCAAGTTTTATCAACAACGCTCATGGCTAAACATAACAAAAGGCTCTCTATCAGGACTTTATGTCGTCTGCAGCTTGAATTGTTCAGTCGCTAAAAATTCTTTGCACGTAAAGGCCTGACTGGTCTGTTTCTATGACACAAAGTTGATAAATTAAGAATCAATATTAACTTCTGAAACCCACAGGCTCTACGTAGCAAAACTGTGATCCATAATGGCTGTAGCAATTCAAAATTAATACTGAAATGTATTCATAACGCCCATGAAAAATAAATGATTTCCGTAACAGACACTATATTACAACATATTGCATGGCAAGATATATTTCATTGAACTAGTTAATACAAATATAATTACATGAAACAAAGTCTCTAAAAATCATAAAACAATAAAATTATACAAACTAAGTCTCTTAAAGTCATAAATGTTTATGTTCCATGCCATAAATATGAATTAATATTGAAGGAAATGACTTTACCATGGCGATAGTCTGGATTAAACTGTAGAAAATCTCATGGGGTGATGAGGAAGGGGTGATATGCAGAAAATCACGTACACAATTTAGTGAGTAACGACCTTTATTTCCTTTGTCATTATTTCCCCCTTTAGCATGTCTCAAGTGAAGTTTAGCCGCAATATCAATACTTAAATAGAGATCTGATGACTGGCAAAATTAAGATTGCCGATTTTTCGCTATATAACATTTATACCTACTGAAGCAAAAATAAACCCACCTTTAACCTGTATACAATATTCTCCAATTCACTACTGAATACTGTACATTATTAGTAAAATAGGTCAGTATACACATCAAAGTTGTTGTGAGTGTGTATGTGTATATATAAGTGGTTTATACACAAGATATAAACCTTGCTATTGCTTTATATTATATATACCTGTAAATGCTTTAAATACATAATCCTTTCCATAAACTATATCTCATTTAATCCCACAGTGTTATGAACAACAGTGCAAGAAATCTACAAATGTTTTCATTTAATCTCGCCACCACATAACATCACAGAAAATCTACTATCTAAATCCATGTCAAGGAAAATATCAAAATTCAATTTCATATCCCCCGTTTAGGGCCCTGTCTGGCTGTCGAAATTAACCCATTTCTTTCAAGTGCAAATAGCTATCACGATAGACATTCCAGCAGCCAAAAAACTACTGATAATTACAGAGAGGCGTTTATTCAGTCTGTTTCACATGGTTTATTCTATACTGAATGCACACTCTCAGCTCACACCCATTATATAGTGTATGTGGACTGTGAGCTAGACTAATTCATTAAACATTTGTTTTTGTTGTTTTTTTTAAAATCTGACATCCATTTTACTAACTGTACGTAACTCTTGACATTTTACGATTATATTCAACTTGAGATATTAAAAGTAAAATGTAATAAACTTAAGACTTTAATAGTAATCGTGTAGATAAGTACAATACTTCTTAAGATTTATTTTTTGCGCTTTTAATACCACTGTACCGTACAGATTTTATAAACGCGCTCTCCTAATCCCACAACTTGTCACTTTTACAACTGGGTTTTTCCAAAATGTGCGCTGAGTAAGCAATGGAAGGCCAAAAATAAATGGCGGTAAAACGGTGTTTGTGTTTTCAATATGGTTATAAATAAACCTAGCAATTTCTGTCTATAGTATAGTTTTCAGCGTCTGAAAAAATAGATTTCCGATAAGTAATACAGATTGGGTCATTTCAGTATGTTTGTAAACAATACATAATTATGTAGTCTGACTATAAAATGTTGCCGTACATTTTCATGTTCTGAATTTTGACATCGCAGTTATAAAAACAAATTTAATATCATCAATCGTATCAACTTATTGAGATGATAAATTATTATTGATAATAATATAATCTATTTGAAAAAAATTCAGTTTGTAACGATTTAAAATATTAAAAATTCCAAAGGCTTGGAAAAACATTCGTGAGACAAATTTACGAGATCAGATTTTGTTTTCTCTTAAGTTATATCGATCGCAGTCAAGATTTAGTATCATTATGAATAAAATTAAACTATACAGGCCGGGCGTCAAAAGATGTATTGCCCCAGAGTGTTTTAGTGGAATATTTTTTTAAATTCATTTATACGAGGGTTGTTCAAAAAGTAATAGGACTGCAGCTCTACTGTTCACATTTTCAAATTTACGTACACAATTTTACATGAGACAAATATCGGAACATGTTCTCTATATAAAGTGAAAAAATCAAAACAAAATGTAAACAAATGAATTTTCTGTGAAATTTTCAAATGACAAGGGGTACGAAACGCGGCGCACGCTAACAATACAATAATTGACGTTCATGACGTCGTAAATTAAATCGAAATTGTAATAAGCGTCATTCTTTCTGAAAGTAGTCTCCCTAGTCTCTAGGTGTATGAGTCATGTAACTTTTACTTTGCCTCATATGTGGAGATGAAGCAAGAAAAAAAGCGATCACATTCTCGTTCCACTGTTTCAAAAAAAATAAATGCCAGATAGCCGCCCTTTATCCGGGTTTTCTCGTGTTTTTAAGTAACCGTGGAACTCAATAGGACTGAAAATGTTAAAGCAAAAGCAATTTATTTTATTAATTTACTCATGTCATTGTATGTTTTAAAACAATATGATTATATACAGAACAATAAAGATATTTCTCAATAGAAAAGTATCATTTTCTACTTAGCACAGTCTATCGTTTATTAAAACAAGTTTTCGGGAAACACTACTAATTATTACCGTTAACTATTACATTAATTTATTGATTACACGTATATCTAGTTAAATACAATAAAATAGTGTTTATAACAAATGTCTTATTTATAATCCTTTGGTTAAAACTGAATAAGTAGACCCGAAGCAGATACAAACAACGATAAACAGTTCGCGTACCGTTTACCGTGGATTCTTTTGTAGCGCTTTTGCAATTGACGTCACTAACGTCCCGTCAATTTTCAACTTTCATCCTCGCCCTTTCTCGTTAGTGATCTTGTATTTGCAGTTTTTGAATTACTTGTGCCAGCTGAAAACAAGTGTCCTGATGGCAGGATAATTGTCCTTTGTTTATTTAATCATTTTGTGTGTATCTGAATGATTATAGTCAATCTCTTGGCAAAAT